GTGTCTAGATGCAGGGGTGAAAAGTTTTAGCGTGTCACATCGAATATACAGACACATATTTGAAGTATTAAACGTAGACTAATAACAAAAACAAATTACAGATTCCGCATATAAACTGCGAGACGGTTTTACTGTAGCACCACATTGTCAAATCATGAAACAATTAGGCTTAAAAATTTGTCTCGTAATCTGTGTAATTAGTTTTTTTATCTATATTTAATGCTCCATACATATGTCTAAACATTCGATATGACAGGATAAAAAGTTTTTTGCGTAGGTTAAAATTCTCATCCACGGCCAAGAAAGCTAGCTTCAACCACAAAAGATAAAATGGAACCGGACCTAGGATGTTTTCTAGTTCATTTCACCCTTGTTCGTAATAAAATTGGCTGGCCGATGTTTCGGTCGATCCAGCTGTAATAAATTGCACGATGTAGTTTTGTCTTTAAAGGTGTATTTCTAACCATTATAGTGGCTGTCGGTTCCAAAAGGGATAACAGTACCGGTCCCATAACCAGTAGTATAGCTTATTCGGTATTAATGAGGTAGAATCAGCACCAATAAATTTGTACGATTTAAAAAAAAATGACCTGACTCGGTACAATTCGAACCGATGCTTCATGTAAAAAGAAATACGAGTAAAAGACAAAATCAAAGATGTATCTGAGCTCGAGGTGGGTGCGAGAGGGGGAGGGAGCTATCGCCGCACCGAGGAAGAAGGAAGCCATCATATTGTTGCCTTGGTGACATGGGAACGGGTTTCCCTGCATTGTGTACATTTTCTGTCGAAAAATGCAACATAATTAACTACTCCTTTAGCCTAAAAGGACTTGCGAAAATTTTTTATGGGAATTAATGGCATAGGTTAAACTAAATGGAGGATGATTGTGATCGGTTGATATGGGAAAGTAGGCGTAGAAATTTAAATAGAGTTGATTTTGAGAACAAAATTTTAAAAATATACCGTTTATATTTTTTCTCTCAGAAATATTTGGGTTGTAATTTTATTTGCACAAATATACCGTTGATATTACGATCTCGCACAATAAAAACGTGAGACCGCTCGACGTCGCGTGGTAAGTTCACGAGAGCGAGCGGTCTCGCAACTCAACCAGCAAGAGCGAGCGGTCTCGCAGACTCCAGTAGCGATACCGATCCTTTCCGCTAATCACTGATTAATTAGTGATTAATTATCTTGATTAGCAATTAATTAATTATTACTTAATCACTAATCAAGATAATTAATCACTAATTATTATTAATTAATAGTTAATCATTTAATTTTCAAAACGCTCTCGCACACCCACCATGCGAGACCGCCCGTGCCGCGCAACACCGCGCGGTCTCGCGTCCTATTTGTGCGAGACCGCCCGTGTCGTCAACCCACGTCAGTTTCGCGCAGCGGTTTAGCGATATCGGTGGTATATTTATGTCAAAAAATTTATATCAAGACTATTTCTGAGAAAAAAAAACATGAACGATATATTTTCAAATATAAGTCTTGATTTTTATTCGTTGAGATGAGTGTAGTAATGGGAGAAGTAACTATAGATAAAAATTGAACCCATGGTCATTGTTTGTAATTTTGGTCCAAAATTTTTGAAATTCTGGGTATTTCAGACCCCACCCCCTTGTCCCACACGACACTATTTCACTTGGAATTATTCTTTTTTTAATTTAGTCATAAATTGGTCAAAATGGTTAAAACTTATTCATTTTCAAAAGAAAAAATCATTCTGAAATCAAACCCCCTTCTCTGCCTCATCGTAAATATGCTAAAAAAATTACATACCGTAACCACATTAATTAGCTATATTTTACTAGGACGGAGGAGTAGATAATACTACCTCTGTTTTACAATATGATGTTATTGACTTTTTTTATATGCATTTGATCATTTATCTTATTTAAAAATTTTATGCAAACATGCAAAATATAATTTATACTTAAAGAGTCTTTCCTTATAGATCAAGTCATAATAGTAATTATATAATTTTTTCAATAAAACAATTCGTCAAATATATATGAAAAAAATAGTGGTGTTATATACTTAAAAAGGGAAGAGTATATAAGAAACCAAATTACTCTTCCATCCGCTGTGCTCCCATTCCAAGTTTGCAACCCCAGCTGAAGGTGGCCAGAAATGCACGTACGCGCAGCCACCGAAATGCATCGAGGGTGGTTGCATATCGAAGCCGCCACTGTTCTACCGTACGTAGTAGGAGACGACGTACGTACTACGGGCCTGCCTGTTTGACACAGCTCTAGCTCCAGTTTTATCCCTTTTAGAGCTGGAGCCCAGCCAAACAGCTGTAAGTAGAGTTGAGTGAAGCTCTCTCATAAAATATACTAGAGTTGTGAAGCTGGGTTTAGGCAGCTCCATAACTTCACTCTAGACTCAACTCTTGAAGCTAAATTTATGAGTTGGAGCCGTACCAAACAGGCCACCAAGTTATACTGCGTCAGAATACTGCGGCTGCGGCAGCAAGAAGACTTGGAGAAATCGACGACGTCTGGCCTATATCGTACTATCTGTGCGTGCAATTTTTTAATATATTTTCACCAGTTAAATTCTCACCGAGCTATTTCTTAAAATATAGATTAAGCTATCCACGTACTTTTTCGTCAAAAAAAAAACTTAATTTAGTAGGGAATATGACCCTTCCAATATAATGAATCTGAATAATCTTATATCTAAATTTGTTGTATTAAGGGATCAAGTGAGTAGACCGTAACTAAACCCCTGCCAGGTAGGAGAAGCCTCCAAAATACCTTGATTAATTAATTGATTAGTACCATTAGTAGCTAAGCTATAAAAAGGATTAAACGTGCGTTGTACTTTTGAGAGGATATGTAGTAGATGAACCCCAGGATTTAGTAACCGTACCGTGCGAACTAATTAATCAACTGATCAAGAATGCACAGTAACAGCTATCAGCACTAAGAGGAAAAAAAAGGTAAATTAAGAAGGGCTCATCAAGTGTGCCATGAAGCTACTAGTAACCACACGTACTACTACATCATCTGATACTTTGGAAAAATCCAAGTTGACAAGTTGTGTTGCTGTCACATGGGTTGCAACATCATCATGGAGAGAATCGTATTAGCAGCTATTACCTCCATTTCATACTATAAGTTGTTTCTACTTCTTTTCTAGTTAAATTTTTAAACTTTAATTAAGTTTATAAAAAATATAGAAATATTTCCTATAAAAATATATTATCTAAATATATTTTAATATAATTAATATTTAACGAAACTAATTTTATTTAAATATTACTAATTTTCCTATAAACATAGTCAAAGATAAGTAAGTTGGACTGGCTAGCTTGGTGATGACATGACACATCAGTCTTGCGTTGCTAGCATCACGTTCACGGGCGCGCAGCCATTAACGGCTATTGCTAATGACACCTTTTGAAATACAGAAAGCTATATTGATTATTGAACTAAAAATGTGTAGAGAGAAAAAGAACCTTCTTACTCTACGGCCGTGCTGACCTCATCCATGAACAAAATAAATAATTAAGAAAAAAACCCCGTTTGACTCCTTCCGGACAGTTCAACCAACAAGGATGTAATCCAAAGTCCTACTTATTGTGACAACTAAACTAAATCAAACACAAAAGATTCGAAATACTCTTTTAATGATATATAAATACCAAATGTCGTACAAGACTAATTAAGTACAACCCTATCTGTAACGTACGTAGCACCCGACGTCTTTTACAAACATTCTGGCTAACTAATGAAATGATCTTGTTTACATTGTGTTTAATCATAACATATACACATTCCATTATTGCATTGCACTCTAAACGAAGTGATCTAATTGGCTGTAATCTGTTTATCCCAAAATAAACCCATCACTGCCCTCTTATCCACCATCAATCTGCAAATCGAAAAATTTTATTGCTTCAAAATTACATGTCTATCTGTCTAATATAGTAAACTTTGAGTGGATACGACATATCCTAAAACGACAAATCTGGATAGGTATGTTATATCCTAGTACAACGAATCTGTACAGAGATACCTATTCAGATTCGTAAAACTAAGATATATCCTATCCACTCAAAATTTGTTATATTTTGAGATGGAGAGAGTATTAATAAGTGTCATTTTAGTCTTTTTACAGATAGAAGAGCACATGTATAAGCCTCAAAGTGTGACAAAATTATCAAAGATAAATATAGTCTATGGCATATGAAACATGCTATTGGAAAACTATGACAAGTCACAACTATAACGGCGAACCAAACACATTCCTACAACTATTATGAGCAGTGGCGAACGCAGCTTTAAAATATAGATGTTCACTCGATAAGAGCAATCGAAAATAACACATATCGTATTTACAGTTCAGTCGCATAACTGAATCGATTATTGCTTGCGGAGTGCGTATGTTGTGAAGATATGGACTAATCCGTTGGACATTCACATCTTATTATATCTAATTTTGATGGTCTTGACTACTATAAGGAGGGAGGAATGTCTTGAGGGTGTGGGACGACACAGATCGTAACTGGATTGATCGATCCACCATGCCTAATGGGTAGATCCGTCCCTGATCACGAGTTCTCAAAAGAAAAAGGAAAGAAATACTCAATACGAAAACTAGACCAGCAACCCCTTTACCTTCCCTAGGGGCGGAGCCACGTAGCTTGGGCCCCACACGTGGCAAAGAATTTCAATGGCAAAATACCAAAATTTAGATAGAAACTCAATGAAAATTTTAAAACAGCATAGCTCGGTCCTACTCTAGATGAAATCTTGCCTCCGCCCGTGACCTTCCCCTAATCCCTATATATGCTTCCTTCCATTCACGTTCGATTCTCACCCGTGCGTAATCATGACGCCGGGGTGACGTCACCATCATCACTCCATTATTGCTGCGCCCCCATCAATCCCATCCCACCACCCCAACCCCACCACACGACAACGCTCACCCCCCCCCCTCCCCCCTTCTTATACCCCCACCACATCAACACACACGCACACGCACACACAAAACACAAACACAACGCAACACAACCCAACCGCATCGCCTCCTCCACCACCCGCCCGCCACACGCCCAAAAAACGCCCCGAAATCCCCTCCAAATCGCCCAAAACCACCGTACGCCGTCGCTACATGGAGAACGGCAAGTGCAACGGGTCGTCGACCACCAAGTGCAACGGTGCGGCGGCGGCGGCGATGCACGTGGCGATGCTGGTGACGCCGGGGATGGGGCACCTGATCCCGCTGGCCGAGCTGGCGAAGCGGCTGGCGGCGAGGCACGGCGTGACGTCGACGCTGCTCACGTTCGCCTCCACGGCGTCGGCGACGCAGCGGGAGTTCCTGGCGTCGCTGCCGCCGGCGATCGAGTCGGTGTCGCTGCCCCCCGTCGACCTCTCCGACCTCCCCGCCGACGCCGCCATCGAGACGCTCATGTCGGAGGAGTGCGTCCGGCTGGTCCCGGCGCTCACGGCGATCCTGTCCGGGATCAGGGAGAGGCGGCGGCTGGTGGCGTTCGTCGCCGACCTGTTCGGCGCGGACTCGTTCGACGCCGCGCGCGACGCCGGCGTGCCCAGGAGGTACCTCTTCTTCCCCACCAACCTCCACGCGCTCACGCTGCTCCTCCACCTCCCCGACCTCGACGTCTCCATCCCCGGCGAGTTCCGCGACCTCGACGAGCCCGTCAGGCTCCCCGGCTGCGTGCCCATCCCGGGGAAGGACATCCTCATGCCGCTCCAGGACAAGTCCAGGGCGTGCTACGGGTGGATGGTGCACCACGGCACGCGCTACCGCGACGCCGACGCCATCCTCGTCAACTCGTTCGACGCCGTCGAGCCCGACGCCGCCAGGGTGCTCCGCCACCCGAAGCCCGGCGTCCCGCCGGTGTTCCCCATCGGCCCGCTGATACAGACGCACTGCGCCGGCGACGACGACGCCGCGGCGCCTCCCTCGCCGCGCGCCGCGTGCCTCGACTGGCTCGACCGGCAGCCGGACAGGTCGGTCATCTTCGTCTCCTTCGGCTCCGGCGGCGCGCTGCCGACGGAGCACATGCGCGAGCTTGCGCTCGGGCTGGAGCTCAGCGGGCAGCGATTCCTGTGGGTGGTGCGGAGCCCGAGCGACGAGGGCGAGGTGAGCGCCAACTACTATGACGCTGAGACGAAGAAGAACCCCTTCGGCTACCTCCCCGAGGGGTTCGTCGAGAGGACGAAGGAGGTGGGCCTGCTGGTGCCCTCGTGGGCCCCGCAGACGAAGGTGCTGGCCCACCGGGCCACGGGAGGGTTCCTGACGCACTGCGGGTGGAACTCGGTGCTCGAGAGCCTCGTGCACGGGGTGCCCATGGTGGCCTGGCCGCTCTTCGCCGAGCAGCGGCAGAACGCCGTCATGCTGACGGAGGGCGCCGGGGCCGCGATACGGGTGCCCGAGTCCAAGGGGAAGGAGAAGATCGCGGCGGTCGTCAGGGAGATGATGGTAGGGGAAGGGAGGGGCGCGGCGGTGCGTGCTAAGGTAGCTGAGCTACAGAAGATGGCGACGGATGGCCTCCGAGACGGTGGCGCCGCCACGTCAGCGCTCGATGAGGTGGTGGACAAGTGGACAGGAGGGGAGAAGTAGGTGGCATCTTGACAAAATACACTTGGCCATATATATGCACCTCCTTGATGGCTGTACGGTGTGTCTACTCCTCTTGTCTCTTTTTTATCATTGTGCACTGGATTTTCTTGTTAGGTAGTACGTGTGGTTCGCATGTACGTGAGGAGATTAGATTTATAATTTGAGTCCCATTAATAAAAGGGGACCATGTGTATATGAAATGCAGTTATGCCCAATTTATATTGACTTCCAACTCTTATACTTTATCCATTAATTCTCTTATATTCTTAATAAAAGTATGTAGTAATAAAAATCGTGCTTTGATATGTAAAAGCGACAGAACTAGATTAGTATTTTATATTTCTCAAGGAAAAGATATTGGCATTTTATAAATATAAAGAAATGTAAAATGGTAAAACATGTACATCATAGACTATATATATATATATATCAATATTCTAACAATGGGGTAAGGTCTAAAACCATACAAGAAAATAGAGAGCTGTAGCTAATTATTTGGTAGCCAGGAATAATGCAATTCGCTTCTTTATCCGATCACCGGCTAATACTAAACTTGTTAATTTAAGCATGTTTTATTTGACATTTTCCTTTGTTGTTACCTGCACGAATCTCAAAGCTGTTTGACATTCGTCCGCTGAACTCTTCTCCCGTCGCGTGGGCGTGACTGAAAAATGCTTTTGTCGAATTGTGTGCCACTTCGCACTCTGGATGGCCACCGTGCAGAGCAGCTTGGAATAAACTAAAAGTTTAATCTTCCATAAGCACGCTAAAATCCTACCAATACCTTGTTTTATTCCTCTAAATATTCCCAGTTTGGTTAGAAAAAAAAATTGGGTGTACGGCCGGGCTACTACCCGACAGTACCAGCACTATATGCCAACGTGACCCCCCACAATTAATGAATTAATTATACTCCCTCTGTCAAAAAAAATCTAAGAGTAAATTGCATAGGTGGTACGCAAACTTGTTAGGTGGGTGCAATTTAGTACATAAACTTGTAAAATACTCGTTTCAGTACACGAACTTGGCTATTTCGTGCAAACGAGGATAAAAATAACTTGGCAATGTTAATTTATGAAGTTGATGTTGATTAGAATATTACGTGCACAGTAGTGAGTATGTATAAGACATGCAATATTTATAATTTGGTCTCTACTTTATCATTCATCAAAGAAAAGATGTATTTTGTATATTTCTAACCCTTATATCATTGCTATTTTTTTAAAAAAAAAATTCTACCATCACTATATCTTATTCTATTTTTTTTTATTGATATTGAAGATGTGTATGTCTAATAGCAAACTTCTCATATATATGTTTACATAGTATCCTAATCAATCCCTAAATCAATAAGATTAGCTATGTAGGGTCCTTTTCGCCTTCCTCCGCACGCACCAGACAAGTTCATGCACCAAAACGAGCATTTTACAAGTTCGTGCACTAGATTGCACCCACCTAACAAGTTCATGTACCGACGATGCAATTTACTCAAAATCTAACCTAGGAGGGGATGTGACCCTTCCTAGCAGAATGATTCTGGACTATCTTTTGTCTATATTCATCCTCTTAAGAAGGGACCCCTCCTTGGTTGGGTTTTTTTTTGGACGGAGGAAGTATGTAACATACAGTCAAATTGGTACTGTAGCAATCATGAGAGTTCAAACGTGTTCCGTATTGTTTTCTTATGAAAATTTACCACAAATCGTCGAGAAAAAAAAACACACTGTCAGTGTTGTAATCAACCATCTGTCCGTGTTGCTCATGACTCTATAACCATGTTTATAGGTAGGCTATCCTTACGTAACACGAACTATCTAGAAATCGTAACGAATTAAACAATTTCAACATCATCAAAGTTGCGAGATCTGTGCATCGCTTTCGACATATCAAGAAGGCTTTCCGTTGAGGCGTGTTCGATCAATGTGCCACATCCAAGAGAGATCTACATCATGTGCAGTGACATAATGCATAAGCCAAAGAAGACGATGACGACCTCAAAGAGAAATAAAAAGGGGGAAGAAGAGGAAGATGACGACGACGACGACGACAGCGACGAGCATGTGGCCGCGGCTGCAGCAGCAGCTAGGAAACGGCCGGCCGCAGAAGGTCCCGTGCGAAAAAAAAAAAAGAGCGTACGGCACATGAATTTTCCCAGCCCGTGTGGTGGTGTCGGGCTCTGCGATCGCACGTGGATCCTCTGCGACGGCGTCTTGTGTTGACGACATTGGGGGCGATTATTTCTGGGTTTGGTCTTGTGTGTTGTGTACAGTGTACACGTGTGTGTGTGTGTGCGCCGTCAAAGAGAAAGGCAGGTAAAGCTTGACAAATGATCACTAAATGGTCTGCCAGTTGGGGACAATGGAATGGTCGCCTATCAACGTGATTGCAGATTTTTCAAAAGGTTTGGAGAAAACCCACTCATTATATATAGTACATAATACTCCTTCAGTCCCAAAATATAGCAACTTAGAATCGGATTGGACGTATCTATAGTACTACGAATCAAATACTAGGATATGTCCTATCCAATTCTAGGTTGTTATATTCTAGGACGGGGGAGTAGTATAATGGAATAGCATTTCATCCGCTCGCCAATATAAACATTTCTATCGTTTAAAATTTATTATTATAGATATAAACATTTCTAGAGTAATATTTTCCCTAAGCTAAGCACCCCTCAATATTCCTTACATTATAGCTTCATCGTTGGACGTAAATTACAGTTTGTTTAGATTTATAGTACTAGTATGTGTTATATCAGGTAATAGGTTGGTTTTTTAGGGGCGGATAGAGTAACAGTTTGAATTTATTTCTACTAATGTGGTAAATTTTAAGCCTTAAAAGCGAACATGGTATTTAGGGGCTGCTCACTTTGACACCATTTTCAACCATACCATTTTTTGGCAAAGTTGCTAAAAGAGTGCCTGCTGCATTTAGTTTGTTGCTAAATTTTAGTAAACACATAAGAAATCCTGCTAAAATTTGAAATATTACCAACATTATTGCTAAAATTTTGGTATTGCCAAAATTTGGTAAGGTTTATTTTAGCATCAAAGTGAACAGCCCTTTACATTTTGAGCTATCTTCAATATTAAGTGCTCCAATTAGATTTACTCGGGCATTATAAATTTCCAGTCTGCGCCACCATCAGGGAAGGTAGCGTTGATCTATCAACGATAGAGTGCTTTTTAAGCGCTGACGCTAATAGGCTAGTAAAACACACATCTCCTATCAGATGAGATACTCTGGTTGACTCCATACCCCTTCTATCTTTCCCTCTCTAAGCACGTTTGTACTAGCATCATCACATTGTACCAATCAAAAAACATGAACATGCCTAACTACATAGTAATCTACTACACACGCATTGCACACACATCTTAATTAAACTTACTCTAGCAAGGACACACACTAGCTCCAAAATAGTAGCTACTCCTCCTAGATCGATTAGAGCTAATTAACCTTCTTGTCTGATCCATGATGCAGTTAAAACTCCTTTTGGTTCGTTCGTGCTACAGGTATCTGTCACCCATCAGAGATTGTTTTTTCAGTCCAAATAATTTTGTGTCGTGTACGAAACACACGCCGGAGTTGCATCGCCTAATCAGGACAGATTGATGGATGCATCTAGACGAGAAAACTGTACAAGGACTGAATAACACACCTCAAAATATTTAAGTTTAGTACTATAATTGAACTTCAAAACGAAAAGAGGGGGTAAGAAAAACGAGATTCGGAGAAAGAGATGTCCCTCCAAACATTTTCAAAAGAAATTATAAGGGCGTTGAAAATTAAAAATAAGATCTCGGAATTAAAACCATACGCTTCTTATCACTACACTATTATAATAGTGTATCTCTAAAACTAAAAATGGGACAAATAATGTGTGTGGCCCTGGATCGATCGCCAAATGGCAATAATGATCGGATCATTGTGCGAAATGATGGGGACATGAGGTGTGTTGATTGTCTCTCTTTTGCAGATGCCAAATTATTTGTGTCCCAAAGATTCCATGGACCGTGATGCTAGCACACGTATGCATGACGTGTACAGTGTAGTGCTACTGAGGTAGTGGCTCCCAGTTCGTCGGATGGCTATGCGTTTGATCGATGGACAAAAGAGTAGAGATTTCACTAGTTCTTTGCGCGACCGTTTCTTAAAATGTTAAACGGTGTGTTTTTTTTTAAAAAAAATATACAAAAATTATTTCAAAAAAATCATATTAATTTATTTTTTAAGTTTAAAATAATTAATATTTATCTAATCATACACTAATGACTCACCTCACCTTGTTTTATGTATATTATCAATCTTCTTCTTCCTTCTTCTATCAAACACTCGGACGACATACGTAGAAGTGTGGAAAAAAGAGATTAGTAGCTTTAATTACTCGTGTTAAGATAATGAGATGGATTAGGTTTTGTTTAATGAGACACATGGTCAAAAGAAAATAGCTATGTACTCCCTCCGTTTAACAATGTAAGTCATTCTAGTATTTCTCACATTCATATCTATCTAGATTCATTAACATCAATATATACGTGAAAAATGCTAGAATGACTTACATTGTGAAACGGAGGAAGTAAAAAAGGTTATCGATGGTTATTTGTTTCCATGGGTGACTACTCCACACGAAAAAATGACAGGGAATTGTGGTGTCACCTACTGTAAACAAGTTCCTGTAGCTACCAACCCAACCCTACCGACAACTGATTATAAGTTGTAACTTATTAACGACAAAAAAATTAACTTATACATAAAATATTTATACGTATATTCTTAACGATTTTAAAATCCAATGTTGAAAAGTAAACCAGATAAAAGACCATAAAAATAAGTAAGTTTTAAAATTTAAATTGGAAGACGGTTTAAAATAAACTAAGATTGATAAACGGAAGAGTAAACGATGGCGTAGTAAATCATAATCAACGATAATATATATCTTTATAAGGGGTAATCGTGATACGAAAATACTATGCATACGAGCTTCTATGTACGATCCTAGTACGATTTCTAACTGATGGCGACATGTGTTGCATCGCTTGAAAAGATTTCAAAAATGCTATGGGCTTTGGCCGGAAAACGTTAGTCATACGATCGAGTATTGTACGTGAACAGTCGTATGTATAGCAGCTCCTAATCATGATAAGAAGGGATTGAAACTAATAGGTACACCAACCGTACACATGACACATCGAGAGCCGTTTAAACCCATTGCCTGGTTTCGCAAATCACAATCATAATCATTAAGTGATCAGCTGGTTAATCACTGTTAACAAAGTGCTAAACTGCTTAACAAATCCGGAGTTGACAGAAACTTGGATAGTAAGCAATTTTCTTTGGTCGAAGATCATCCACCCATCAGTGGTTGGGAATGGAAAGAACAAAGTGAGTCACAAACGAGGACAGCCATGTTAATTTGCTTGTTCCCCAGTTGAATTATTAAGTACTCCCTCCGTTTTAAAATATAACAACTTCTAACTTTTAGAATTTGTTTCAAAATATAACTTCTCCACCAGCATTCTCTTATCAACCAATCACAACCCTCCACCTACCTCCACTTCTCCAATCATGACACTCTCTCATTTAAATCTACCCACTTTTTTAATAACCGTGTCTAACTCTAAAAATACTTATATTCTGGGAAGGCGGGAGTACTTCCTCCAATTATAAACATTTAACGGATAAGACATGATCCTATCAAAATTTTGAAACTTTGACTGCCATATATATTAAGTTGATGATATTATGATAGTACATTTTAAGACAAATCCAAACCTACCATTTTTTTCTTAAACATCTCAGCTGTTATTGATGATCAAAGTTTTCAACGTTTCACGATATTTTATTCCAAACATCTAATATTTATAACCAGAGTAGTAGTACGTTGCTGATTAATTCACATTGACCTTTTTTTTTTGGAAAACTCATTTACCTACAATTTGAGATTGAGCCGAAAACTAAAGAATGGAAGCATGATCATCATTTACTAATTTTTCCAAAATTAGCCAAATCCTCAAGCAGAATAAACACCCAGAGCTTTATTATATTTAGGCCCCTGGGTTCTCATTTAATTACAACTCGGACAATTTACTGTCCAAACTGGACCATTCTTAGTCTGTCCATTTGCAGGTGTGGCCAGCTTAGTTGGGAGGGATCATGTTGCGGCTGAAATCATCATCTTTTGTGGTGCTTTCGGACGGATTAGTTGATTGAAATGGTGAGTTTCCAACTTTTTTTTCCTAAAAGGAAAAGGTTCCCACAAAGCATGGATAATGCTTTTCCTTATCAATTATATTCTTACCCATCCACGTCACTCGTTTTCGAGAGAGATAGTAATTAGGAATTGAGAGGGAGAGAGAGGGAGATAGAGATGTGGCATAAAGGAGTAGTAGGAGAGATTACGAATTCTCACCCGAATGCTCCAATCTTTAAAACCGATTTCAGGGACCAAGCTCTACCTTACTATTCGGCCACGTGGAGCTCCGTAAGTTTGCCAATGCCCTAGCCAAGAATCTGACACGTGTCCATGTGGAGGAAACTACTAGTAGGCGGGAACTGGAAGTTTCACCGTGAAATTTAAAAAAAATGCATTGGCGTGTACAGCCCAATCGCACATGCCTGCCCTAGCCCTGGTCGTCCAGCGCCGTTGCTACAACATTTTGCATTGTTGCGTTCTCAGGACAACTGGCCAAGGGTGCATAGAGGACCATGAAGAAATATGTTTCTACAAATAAATAATAAAAAAAACTAAATAACAGAAATAAGGTGAAAGATTAAATGAAAATTAGCAATGCTAAGAACCAATATTTCTTCAAATATGCGAAGTGAGCGTAACTCAACTGGTTAGATTACTCGTAGTGAAACTAGCCCAGACGACGAGTGCTCGTATTTACGGCTAATATTTTTTTTAGTGTTAGACAACATATCCATCAACAACGATGCACCTATGAGCAGTGCTGACTTTGTCAATCTCAAAATATGCCACCCAGTATTTTGAATATGCTCATATGGATAGGGTTCATAGGTATGAGTGTATGCGCGTTGTGGGCGTATATGTTTGTACTGTGTTTAAAACAAAAAATTTATTTGAATGTGCATTTTACTATTTTACCGTATACACCATTTTTTGGTTAATAAAATTGCCACAGTTTTGAGGAAACATGATATTGCCGCATCTCATTATTTGATATGAAGTTTGCTAGAGTGATAAATATCGTAAAATCTAAACCGAAAACGCTCTCGATTTAGTACTAAGCAGCGACGGTCCAGTGAGAGAAATCTAAGCCACAGTTTAAGGCTAGGTTGGTATGGATTTATACTAACCTATTATGTCAACGTGCATGTCTTTTATAGTACTAATCCATTAAACAAGTAGGGAAAATATTCCTATCATCTATTCTTCAAATAAAATTTTCTCTTAAATTACTCATCCGATTACATTGTTGTGTTCGTAACTATTAAATCTTTACAACAAGATCTCACATGATTATATTTTGATAAAAAAATCACAAATTACTTTTATGATATGTCTAAATTACTTTTAGATTTCACTAAATTACTTCTTAAACATATAAAAGTAAATTCAGTAAAGTCTACAAGTAATTTATATATATTATAGAAATAACTTAGAACAAAACGAAGGTAACTTTGGCATGTCATTTGAAGTAAGTCCGTTATAGAGATAAAAACACGACTCTATCAAGAAATTAAATTAATCGGCACAAATTATGGAATTAACTAAAAACAATAAAAAAAAGTAATCACCTCAGAGCATTATGAATGTATATGAAGTATTTTAATCAAATCTAAAAGTAACTTATATATATGATAATTTGTTCAATGAAAAAAGGCATTAATTAAAGTTACCTTCGTTTTTTTTCTAAGTTACTTATATGATATATGTAAATTACTTTTAGACTTTATTGAATTTACATATAAAAAGTAGCTTAGTAAAATCTAAAAGTAATTTAGATATATTATAAAAGTAATTTATGATTTTTTATCAAAATATAATCATGTGAGATCTTGTTATAAAGATTTAATTGTTACGAACACAACGGTGTAATCGGATCGTAGATCGGACGAGTAGTTTAAGAGAAAATTGTATTTGAAATATAGGTGGATAGTGTCTTTCATAGATGGAGTGGTAGCTGGTTTAGACGAATCAGCTACCACTGGCTGTGTAGTCGCGTCCGATAAATATACCTCAATAAGAGGTACGTAAATTTTCCATATTCTATACCTCAATAAGCCCTAAATAAAATATACATGCTATAAATTTATCTAGTGGTATTGACAGTATGGTCTTTTGGAGAGTTTCTCAAAGCTCTAACTGCTCTCGAAAACTCTCCTGAATATTCTAGAATATTCTTCATATTTTGATGGAGAACTATAGAAATAAACTAGTTAACCGGTTAGGTAATTAACCTCAGCTTAACTAGATTCTCACAAATGGAATACTCAATAGCTGCTACTTAACATCTTCAGCTTCTTTACATAAAGATAAACAAGATGGAGATATAATCGAGACTGTTCGGAGAGCTAAGGATTTGGGAAGTGGCTGCAACAGAGATGTTGAGTAATACTATCTTGATCCACATATGGCAAGGAGCTCATTCAAATAACGTCCCAAACATCCTACTCATCAAGCTAATCCCTATCCGTCCTATAAAAAAAATTAATCAAATTTTAGCTATCTAAACATAGTATTCTAGATTTATAGCCATGAATTAATTTATTGTGTCTAGATTCGTAACCATGAGTTGATTTTTTTAGATAGTGTGTAGCACCCAGTCAGCAGAGCCAGCAGATCAGCAAACACGTGCCGAGCTGCCGAAGCCTTAGCCATACCCGGGCCGAAAGCTTCTCATGCTATTAAATTCCTTCGGCCCAGAATGGAAAAGCCCGGCCCAAAATATTCCTGAACACTGAAGATACAAGCAGACTAACAGCACTTTACTTTTTAGTGCACCGGCCGAAAGGTTGGTAAAACAACTCAATAGCAGGATCTATCAGTTTGTTCCTTTTGTTTTAAACAGAGGATTTGTAGGTTTCAAAAAGGGCCGTTTGAAATATACGATTTTGAACAGGAAATTTCTGCATTAGAATGTTTTCTACAGCAGAAAGTCTGTGACCCATGCACAAATCAAAGCAATAAAAACATGGACTAGGTCTTTACCTGCAAAGGCAAGGCAGAGATGCATTCAGATTGGACAGAGAAAATGGCTTTATCAGAAAATCGACAAGACTTTCAGAATTTAAAACCCACAAGACTTGAGCAACTGGTTAGATAATAATACCCTGGTAGCAAATGGTTTCAGCTCAATATCAGACGTTCCTTTACCATGACATGGCCGGAAAGAAAATGTTATCACGCATTTACAACAAAGGAGGTTGTGTATCAGAACAGTTTGCATCAAGATGGTGACATGTAACAACAAGCCAAATTTAACTCTGAAGTTATGTTATGACACGGTTCTTCCAGGCAAATTTGTCGATGATCTCTACTTGATGACCTCGAAGAATAGAACTTCAGGTTGGAGCGTGCAGTCTCTGAAGCGTTCAAGCAACTGCTCCCAAGAATCTTTTGTCTGTACAGAGTTAACAAGCTCAGAATCACAGAGAGGATATCAGAATCAAGAAGCCTCAGATGGTGTTTGGATCCAGGGACTTAACTTTAGTCTCTATATTTAGACACTAATTTAGAGTATTAAATATAGACTACTTACAAAACTAATTACATAAATGAAAACTAATTTGCGAGACAAATTTTTTAAACCTAATTAATCTATAATTAGAGAATGTTTACTGTAGCATTGTAGCATTATATAGGCTAATCATGGATTAATTAGGCTCAATAGATTCGTCTCGCGAATTAGTCCAAGATTATTGATGGGTTTTATTAATAGTCTATGTTTAATATTTATAATTAGTGTCCAAATATCCGATGTGATAGGGACTTAGTTTTAGTCACATCTAAACAGGGTCTCACTTTGCTGCTGCAGAGGCCAGGAGAGCAAGTTATCTACCTCAACAGTTTTGGCATCAGAGCTGAGCCACTTGTCCTGGTCGCGCGCAAAGCAGATGTAGCGCCCATCAGCATAGGAGATCTGCAGAGGTTTAAATAATAGGGAATAAATAACTTTGACATGTAAAAGCGTGATATATTTATCAGGCATGGTTATGTTGGTAAGTATAAGCAGGGCAGGTTAAGTAGCACCCAAAAAACCATGCAGAAGAGCTGAAGTAAAAATTAATAGACCAAGGGAATAACTTTATAATTTATTGAAACAAAAAAAAAAGAACAGTATGATGCAAAAGTTCTGCTCCACAACATATGATTTCTAATGGTGATAATTTAGAATTCAGACAAAAAGCGAAGGACAAATATATCAAGACAACTGGACAGTAACAGAGATAAAAAGAAGTCCAATAAAGATTTTACCCAGCCATGGTACTCCATTTTAATACTCAATCAATGAACATGCTGATAAAAAGTTCAGTGAGAGTGAAATCACTCGTGATATTCTTTGCAATTGCCAGTACTGCCTACACGGACTGCCAACTCTTGCTCAAATTCTTGTCTTCAAACTTTTCCAATTTTGGAGATCAGTAAGGTATAGAAAGAATAACTTCGCTGACAAGATGGACTCAAATATTTCCCAAAATCATCATGAGTATATGGCCAACTCAGATATGAACATTATGATTCATAGCTCGAATCCATTATCCACAGAAGCCTAGCCAATTTGGATCTAGTAAACACCAATTACTATAACTTCGGTTCACTTCATTCTAGCAAAAACCTTGTTTCAGACTAACACCATCTCTTTTAAGATAAGCATTACACGCAATGTCCTTGTGACCTCTCACACCTTACGAGTATATCCAAATAATTAAGATAATACCAGTCAAGGAACATAATGAGACAGAACTCTCAAGACAATGATATCAGCCAATACAATACAGCTCACTGGTTTTCACACTCGTTTTGCATTTCCTTAGCATGACAATCAAGGATAACATTATTTTTTCTGTTATATAATCAATTCAATTCATATACAAAAAAAAGGGTTTTATGCGCACATACCATTGAGGTCAGAGAATAGTTTGCTGAGGAGTGAACACCCTTGCAAAGAAGTTTAATATCAAGGGGATGTGCAATGCCAACCAGAACTTCAGATAGCTCAACCTGGTTTTCACAGCCACCAGACCAGTCTAAACCTGCAACATGTTGGTGAAAACAGAAAATGAAACAAACATTTTGATATTAACTTTATAACAAAAATTATGAATGGATAAAAAGCCTCTTAACCAGCATAGTACAAAATCATATCACACTTATTAATGTAGACCTCAGTATTTGAGATACCGATTCGGCAGGGGAATAGGACACTGAATAGTAAAGTGCAATCTACTATTGTAGACAAGAACCTTTACCTATTGTGAAGAAATGTGGTGTATTTGAAGGAAAAACATCAGTGTTTTTTGGACTTCCACAATGCTCGCAATTGGCCTCAAAGCATGACTGCTCATCATATAGAACCGGAAGCTCTGCAAAGGACTTGATCTGCAAAATGCTTCCAGTTACGATTTGCTAAGTTACTCTTGCATAATATATCCGCCTATAAAAAGTAAAATGTGACATACCTTTGTTGTTTGAGGTGAACCGGCATGAAGTTTATAGAAAACTGTAGTATGTTCCTTCTCATCGAAAGAATTCCCACACCTGCAGCTCATTTGGAGCTGAACCCCAAAAAGATTATGTGTTCGGCATATGCAATCTCTGCAGCTGACAGGGCTTACTAGACGTCCCTCAATATCATTGTTGAACTCAAAATGAAATGAAGTTCCTGACATATGCAGTCCTTGAAGAATCATTGCCACAGCCTCAGAAGCAATTAATTTTCCAGCCTGCAGCTGAAATTTATTCACCAGATTTACCCTTGTGAAGGCACAAAAATATGCATGAAAACTAAAATAAGACAGAAGCAGAATGAAGATGTTGGTAGTCTCCAATGGATTAGTTTGTCGCCTTACATGTTAATAAAAAAAAAATACAAACAACAAAAATATGACTAATAGAGCTTGCAAGCAAAAGAACAAGAGACTTGTGTGTATCTAAATTCCCTCATTCCAGTGCATAAGGAACAAAAAAAAGGAGAGATATAGCTCCTTCTGAGATGATTTTTTTTAAAAAAAAACGCATAATTGCATTTTAACGTTTGGGTGTTTCCTTCTGTGGAATGTAAAAAATGTCAGATACTGAAAACAAGTCTGGAAAGTAGGAATCGACAAAGGAAAATGCAACCAACCAAAGATAGCACTAAAAAAAATTCGGGCCCTGTTTTTATTTTTAGACTCAGTTTATATTTGCAGTGCATGGTTGACAAAATTGCACTTTGATCATTAATTAATTCCCACCAACATATTGCCAATATTCTTGTAAAAAAAATATTGCCAATAACTGCAAAATCATGGTCATATGAATGCAGACTTAATAGTCAGAAAAAAAAGAATATCATTTTTTTATCTGGAAAACATGGTCTCCTTATATGGGAGTAATAGTTATTGCTTGAACAAAATGACCACGGAAAGGAATACAATGGTCTTGCCCACATACCTTTTGAAACATGTTATCATTTGCAATTTTACAGAGACTGGCCTTCATGGAAGTCAGGAAAACAGCCACTCTATCATTTTCATTTTTCTCCCAAGCAGAGAAGATTTCATATAATTGGTCAGCGATACAGTGATCCTCATTGATACACAGGATCCATACAGACCGTTCCCTTAAAAAGTCAATTCTGAAGAACCTCAAATGCCACAATGACTGCAAATATTCGTAGGAAATTAGAACTCAGATGCTAGCACATGACCGAAAAAAGCTACATGCAAATTTTTACTACCTGTATGATCACATGCAAGATAATCAGGTCTTTGTCAGTGTTGTCTTTTTCGAGAACATAAATACTTTCGTCGCTGATGGTGCTTGCCATGTCCTCACCTGATTGGGCTTAAGTTACTGGATAATAATGAGATTATTATCCTAAGAATATATAATCACCATGTTGTGTAACTGAGTTGAAAAATGGGAGCAGAGTGTTTTGCTAGGACATGGATAGATTTTGTAATTATGAATAAATTAATTTGTTCACATTAAGAAATCAATCACACATTACTACGTTCACATTAACAAAAAAAAATTGCATGTGCAACCAATAATTGTAAGATTAATATATTCACATCAACCAAAAAAAAATTATAGGTACAACTAATAATTCAAAAAGCTTCGTCTGTTTTCAGGGATGAATAAAACAAGTGATAATTACCTTTTGGATAGGGAATGTTAAAGTTCTCCTGAAAACAAAGAATCTGTGATGTTAATACTACAAAATAAGTAATCACACATTTGCAAATAACTAGATTTTTTTTTAAAAAAAGTAAAATGTCGATGTGATGCTTAATGCTTTATTGCAGGTTATCAATAGAGTTCAAATACCTACTACAATATCACATTATGAAATTAAACTGAAGTGATTAATAGTATTTGTATTTGTATTTGAATGGAAGCCATGTAGTAGTTAGCAAGCATGCCTCAAGTAGATGCAGTACATATATAGTTTGACAACTGCATGAACAACAAGGCAACAAGCTCTGTATCAAAGAAAGACAGGTTGCATTGAAAGAGGAACCAAAATCCGAATAACCTGTTTTTGATGTATCAGCAGCGCTAGGGGCATCGCCAACTTTAGGAAATATTGCATCAATATCAGGAGTGTCATCGACATTAGGAAATAATGCATCAATATCAGCAGCATCAATACTCTTACTGGCAGCCTTTTCATCATTACTCATGGAAAGAAGTAATTGTTCCTGTAAATTGGTTTACAGATTTATAGATCAGTACAGAGTGAACAGACAGATAGCTAGACGTGAACAAGAACCTCCAGTTGTAAACATACCGATATGAAACATATTGCAAGGGGTGTGATGACTACACGGTAATCCAGAACAGAGATTTCAAGGAAGTCATTCCACATGTCCTGGATCTCAGCACAAGCCTCATTAAACTGCAACAGTGTTTAGTCCAATCAAGATGAATATCAGTATGGGAGTGAATCTAACAAAGGAAAATGTTGAAACAAGGCCATGAAAAACGGAAGATTATCAAACCTCACTGCTTGAAATATCTGTGGGGACATTCTTCAGCTTTGGCTTCATCATCTCAAGGATTTCAATTCCTTCTTTGCATTTAGTCTCTCGCAGTTCAGAAAATTGCTTGTGCTCAACTGTGCCAGTTGCCCGAAGAAACAAGTATTTGAAAATATGATCCATCCTTTCGAAACGCAGGACATAATTCTCCTCTGAATCTTGACAGACAGCTACGTCGTCCAAGAAATAGTCGCCCTCAGATGAATCTACCGATTTTGGATCCAAAATCGACAGCAGCTTCAGCCACACACCCCCTTCCGGGTGCTTGTTGCGCATGTGTTGCAAGAGCGAATCGGTGTCCGGGATCTTCTTGCCAACACAATAGGGGCAAATCCAAAACCTCCACGACCTGTTCTTCCTGACAAAGCTGAGTGCATCAGATATGGTCTTTGCGCCCTCGTGCGTGTCATCATAGTTCTTGGCATAGTGTTGATGCATCGAATTGAATCCCGCAAACCGAAATCTGTCCTGCTTCTCCCTTGGCAACGAGGACCAGTAATCTTTGGTCGCCAAGACAATCTTCTGGAATAAACGACCGAGCTCTACACGGACAGCGGATTGCCTATCTTCAGAGTTCTCTCCGGGGACAGATCCAGGGGGGACATCCTCGTCGGCGGGATCAGCTGCTCCGACCATGTGCAACCCACGGCTGCACTCGCCTTCCGCGGAGACGTACGAGCCCAAGAGGAAGACGAGCTTGGCGCGGAATGCGGCGAGGACGAGCGAGGTGTCGAACCGCAGCGCCTCTCCGTTGAGCTCGCCGAGGAGGCGGTCCAGGAAGGGGCGCTTGTCGATGCCCGGGGCGAGGCCGCGCGCGAATTCCACGTCGACGTGCGCGTGGGCGAAGAGCGCGCGCGCCGAGTAGGGGTAGCGCGCGGCGAGCGCCTTCGCCGGCTTGACCGCCTTGGCGGCGCCCTCGCGCTCGGCGACGTCGAGCACGCCGCGGACGGCGCGGGGGATGACCTTGGCGATGACGAAGGCCATGATCAGGTTGTAGCGCTCGATGGCGGCCGCCCTCGCGTTCGCGATCCTGTCCTTGGGGGTGGCGCCGTCGTCGTCGTCGAGGTCGTAGGCGACGTTGTTGTCGGCGGGGTCGGTGGGGTAGTCGATGGTCACGGCGCGGCGGATGTCGAGGTCCGCGTCGTCGTCGTCGAGGCACGCGAACCGCACCGTCGCAAGGCTGGTGGCGATCTCGACGCAGTTGGGGGCGAGGCGCGCGGCACGGATGTAGAAGTCGCGGGCCGGGTGGAGGTGCTTCCCCGCGGCGGAGGGCTGCTGGCCGGAGGCGCCGTCGACGGCGCGGTTGGTGGCGTCGTGGTGGAGGACCGCGGCGAGGTGGGCGGCGACGGCGGAGCCCGGGTGCCCCGCCGCGAGCTCCTCGGCGCGCGCGATCGCCTCGTCGTGGCGCCCCTCCTCGCGGTACATCCGCAGCGCCGCCACGGCCTCCCTGCGCAGGGCCCTCTCCGCCTCGAGCCGCCGCCGCTCCAGCTCCGCGGCCTCCTTCCGCTGAGCCCTGCTGCCTCTGCCCATCGCGCGCGAGGTGTTCGTACAAATGCGGCGGCGGCGGCGGCGGCGGCGATGACGGCGAAGGATTGATGGGAAAGCGCGGCGTGGTTCTGGGGTTTCGCGAGGCGAGAGGAGGGTATTTATAATAGCTTCTAGAATCTAGAAGGAGGAAACGAATCGGGAGGGGATGATCTCTCGGAGAGATTCTAGCTAGCTAACTGGGATAACGAACGGAATAGCTTTAGATACGATGACGTCAAAATAAACGAACGGAGTAGTGTTTATCTATTGGATAATTGCTGATTTGATCCTTTGGAAGTCTTCTAACTATTAATCTGATCTCTTTTTCTAAGTTTGTTTATTTTACCTCGTTTTTTTAAATTGAAGTTGTCGTTTTACCATGTTTCTACTTAACCATTAGGGTTTCACTTCATCTTGACTAAAATAATGAAAATACCCCTAAGCACGGCGGGCGGCGGCACTGCTCCTTCTCGCTCCAAACAGAGAGGACGGTGGCGCGGTCGAAGGTTGCGGGGTGATGGTGCTTTTCTTCTTTGATCCGAACGAGGAGGAAGATGACGATGGGCGGCGGTGCGGTGCTCACCGATGTGGCCGTGGGAAGTCGGCCGCCAGGCTATCCACCGCAATCTGGATCAAACAAACAAAATCTTTAAGAAGGGATAATTAATACAGGGTCAAATAAGTAAGGACAGAAACATCATCTTTTTTTTTCTAAGTTAGCACAGTTATATTGACTTCACAAAAGAGAGTCAGACATGATCTTCGGTTTTGAAAATAAGGGTCAAATAAGCAAACCTAAAAAGTAAAGTTAAATTGGTAGTTAGGTTTCAAAATAGGATCAAAATCGCAATTGCCCCTTATCTATTTTATCCAAAAATTCAACAAATTTGGCTAACAATTGATTTGCTGAAGATACGGAGGACGCATTTATCTATTGATCATCCAAAATTCAACAAATTTGGCTAACAACTGAGTTGCTGAAGATACGAAGGACGTGAAATGAACGTCCATCCAGCGTTTATCTGTTCATCCAAAATTTTGTATGAATTTGGGTGAAAATTCTGAAGTTCGTTGGGTGTAGCTCAATTCTAAGAATTTGCATCATTCTCATCGCACATTTGATGTCAGTACGGAAGGGAATTCTCAATGTAGAGATAGCACCAAGATGGTGAACATATAACAACTGTTTCTTTGCATGAATGCCAAAATTAACTGCAAGTTGCAAACCAATAAGGTAACATCAAATTTGAAACTAAAATGATCGAAATGGTAGTGTACAACTGAAGATGACGACTTCAGGTTTGACGCTGCCAGGAATATCTTAACTACCAGAAAATAAAAAGAAAAATAATATCTTTGTTTCATATTATAAGTCGCTTTGAACTTTTTCCTAGTCAAAATTCCTTATATTAGACCAAATTTATAGAAAACTTAGCAACATCTACAACACCAAATTAGTTTCATTTATCACACAAGTAATCTCTTCTCAAGGACAAAAGAGTAGATCCGGACCTCCGTTAAACTATCAACAGAAATCATATCTCCTCAACTCCCATCACCATCCTTGTCCCAGCCCGACGAGGGATGTTAGAAGCAGCGGAATAGGAGGGATTGGGAGCCCTCGCACGTCCCTACAAGTAGAGATCGTAAAACTCAGGGAAGGGAACTCTAAATTTTTAGCAGCAGATGAGGAAATATGTTGGAGCTGATTTTTAGCCCAAATTCCCAAAAATCTTGGATTGGGAACAATTTATCCAATCCATTGGCGATGCTCAGTCCTGCCTCCTGAGCACTTGCGCGCTGTTTGTGGACATCCTTTTTTCTTGTGCGAAACAAAAAAAATGTGTATTGCATTTGTGTATTGTATTATTCAACATTAAATATGTTTTGATAATGTTTATTTTGTGTTGAAAATATTGCTATATATTTCTATAAATTTGGTCAAACATAAAAAAAAAGTTAAAGCATCTTAAAATATGAGATAGAGAGTACAGATATGACATACTGGTTAACTAATAGCCTGATATCAAACAGGACTTCTACTCGTGACGGTTGAAAGGAAATGGTATCATTCATCAGTCATCACAGTATAACTAATAGCCTGATATCAAACATGACTTCTACTCGTGACGGTTGAAAGGAAATGGTATCATTCATCACAATACAATGTGGACTGATCGTACAAGTTGATCAGAATTCATAAGATCTCCACCAAATCCATAAAAACGCTGCGTTTCAAACTAAAGGCCTTTCCTGATGTAGAGATAGCAGCAGGATAGCGAGTCGGTGACATGCAGCAACAACTATTTCCTTGCAAGAATGCCAGAATTAAGATACAAACACAATGTTGCGAAAGGGTTGTTCCAGGCACTCGTATATCTACTTGATGACCTCGAAAAAGAGAACTTCAGGTTGGAGCCTGCAGACACTGAAGCGTTCAAGCAACAGCTCCCAGGAATCTGCTGCCTGTATAGAGTTTAACCGCTCAGAATAACAGAGAGAAGATCAGAATCAAGAAGCATACATACATACATGATGCGCTGCACAGGCCAAGAAGTTAGTTACCCACCTCAACATTCTCAGCATCACAGATGAGCCACTTGTCCTGATTGCGAGCAAAGCAGACGTAGCGCCCATCAGCATAGGAGATCTGCAGAGTTTTTGGTTGGCAGGGAGTTAATAAGCTGGGGGTATAGAAAACTAATATACTGCATTTGCTAGACACTGTTGTGTTGTTAAGCATAAGCAACTGACAAACCTTGCAAAAGGCCAAAGAAGTAGAACTCGTTGCAAGAGAATAATAAATTTATTGAATAGAAAACAAAACCAATGTAAGTTCTGTACCACTGATTGTGATTTCTGATGGTGACATTTTGGTATCGAGATATAAACCAAAGGATGAATATAAATAACTGGGAGTAACAGAGATTGAAACAAGCCCATTAAAGATCACCCTGCCATATTACTCCATTTCAATTCTCAATCAATGAAACATGCTGACAGCCTGACAAAACATTCAGTGAGATTGTGAAATTACACAAGATGTTAGTTGTTGGCTTGTTGCTGCCAGTTCTGCATACAAAACTCTTGATAAAATTCTTTGTTTTGAAGCATTCCAAATGCTGGAGATCAGTAAGGTTTCTGCAGAATAACATTCGCCAACAAAACCATTGAAATATTCACCAAAATACTATATGGCCAACTCAGATGGATCATAGCTTCAACCCATTATCCACTATATTGGTCCGTTTAGTTCTAGTAAAACCTTGATTCCCTGTGACTTCCCTCGCCTTGAGTATAATATGTGGTGATGATATTAAGATACAATACGAGTCAAGAAACACAATTGACAACAGATATCAACCAATACCAAGTAGCTCATTGCTTTTTCCCTCCTTTTTGGATTCCTTAAAATGACAATTGACAATCAAGGATAACATTATTTTTTCTGTTATATAACAATGTAATTCATAAAGAAAAGAAAAGGTTCTGAGTGCTCATACCATTGAGGCCAGAGAATAGTTTGCTGAGAAGCGAACACCCTTGCAGAGAAGTTTAATGTCAAGGGGATGTGCAATGCCAACCAGAAGTTCAGATAGCCGACCCTGGTCTTCACTGCCACCAAACCAGTCTAAACCTACAATAAAATGCCAAACACAGGGAACAAAACAAGCAGCTTGACGTTAACTTTACAGTACAGAAAAAAAATATCAATGGATCAAAAGCCTCTTAACCAGCATAATACCGAGCTATATCACACCTAACAATGTAGAGACTTCAGTTTTGTCGGATTCTAGAAGTTAGCCTTCAAGTTTCAATTTCTGTTTTAGTTACAAGTGGTCGTGATGCATGTCTCCTACATAATTTTATGTTTACGCAGGAAAAAGGGACACCAAATGTAAAATTCCAATAGTATTTTCTGTTTAGGCAGGAAAAGGGGGCATCAAATGTTAAATTGCAATTTACTATTGCAGACAAGAACCTCTACCTATAGTAAAGAAATGCGGCGTGTTAAACGGAGAAACATCAACTTTCTTCGAACTTCCACAATACTCGCAATTGTCCTCAAAGCATAACTGCTGATCATATAGAACAGGAAGGTCTGCAAAGGAATTGATCTGCAAAAGGTTGGCAATCACTATTTGTAGGATACTTTGGCAAATATATCCACCTATGATGAAGAGTTAGCTATACAGGATATCTAATTAATGTGACACACCTTTGTTGTTTGAGGTGAACCAGCATCAAGTCTATATACAATTGTGGTATGTTCTTTCTCACTAAAAGACTTCCCACATCTGCAGCTCATTCGCACATGGAACATAATTCCAAACAGATTATGTGTTCGGCATATGCAATCTCGGCAGCTGATAGGACTTACTACACGCCCCTCAATCTCACTGTTGAAACAAAAATGCAAAGAAGCTTCCGATATATGCAGCCCTTGAAAAACTGTTGCCACAACCTCAGATGCAATTCTTTTTCCAGATTGGAGCTGAAATTGATCAACAAGATTTAGCCTTGTGAAGGCAGAAAAATATGCATGAAGAGTAAAATAATACTGAAGCAGAAAATGAGACTCGCATGTCTAAAATAAGTCTCCGTGGAAATCGTTTTGACACTTTACATGTTATATCAGAAAAAAAAATAATAGGGCTTGCCGAATAAAATGGTACTCGTGTGTCCAAATTCACCAACTGTAGTCATATGGAACAAGAGATAACAAATATTGATCCTTCAGATATTTTTTTTGTAAAAAAATGTCACATACTGAAAACAACATGAATGCTCCATAATCTCCATAATTTAAGGAATCAGAAAATGCAATCAATCGAAGGTAGCGCCAACAGAAAACAAAATTATAGACTCAGCTTTTGTATGGTACAACAAAAAATTAGTATCTATAATTATTTTTATAGTGCATTTTGTAAACCTAAATTTTTAGACCCTACATTTATTTTTGTAAAGCATGATCTGCAAATTGGCATTTTACCATTAGTTCCATTAATAATATATTGCCAATAAGTGCAATGTACGCTGATTTAATTCTCGGAAAAAATAATTGTTTGAATCTAGGAAAACATCGTCCTGGCTGAAAAAAAAATCTAGGAAAACATGGTATCCTTATATTAAGGCAATGCAGGGATTGATAATTATTGCTTGAACAAATGACCATGTGAAGGAATACGGTATGTTGTTAACCTCCATACCTTCTGAAACATGTTATCATTTGCAATTTTACAGAGACTGGACTTCACAGAAGCTAGCAAAACAGCCACTCTGTCGTGTTCATTTTTCTCCCAAGCAGAGAAGATTCCATAGATTAGGTCAGCAATGCAGCAGTTCCCACTGATATTCAGGATCCATGCAGGTTTTCCCATTAAAAACTCATCTCTCAAGTACCTCAAATTCCACAATGACTGGATATTCCATAGGAAATCGGAACTCAGAAGTAGTCATGCATAGAAATCAGAACTCAGAGGCTAGCACAAGACAAAACAAATATCTGCATGCAAGGTTTTACTACCTGTATGATTGGATGAAGGATAAACAGGTCTTTGTCGGTTATTTCTTTGTTAACATCAACATTTTCATTGCCGGTGGTGCTTGACATTTCCTCAGTTGATTTGCTATCAGTTTCTGGGTAATTATCCATAAAAACATACAATAACCACATTAAATAACAAAAATTGAAAAATGGCGAACAGATTGTGTTGCTAGGGCATGGATAGATTTTGTAATTATGAAGAGATTATTACGTTCACAATAATAGATAAAATGATAAATCACAGATCACTGCATTCACATTAACAAAATTACAGATATAACTAATAATTGTGAGCTTAGTATGTTCATAATAATCACATTTACAAGGAAATCACAGATACAACTAATAGTTACAGGATATTTATCTGTTTTTTTTTCAGAAATGATTAGACATGCAATAATTACCTTTTGGATAGGGAATGTTAAAGTTCTCCTGAAAACAAAGCAACTCTGTAATGTTAATACTACCAAATATATCCACACATATGCAAATAACCAGAACTTTTTTTAATAAACTGTAAATGTGCTGGTTCATTCCAGGTTATTAATGAAGAGTTAAAATACTGCATTCGCACAAACAAATATACTACATTCTCACACTGTGAAATTAAATTAAAGTGCTGGTTTTCTATATTTGAATGGAAGTCATGTGGGCTGAATTTTTCTTTAGTACTACTTAGAAAGTGTTCCTGCGGTAGATGCTGTAACAAAGACATTGGTTGTATTGAAAGAGTATCGAGAATTCGAGTAACCTATTCCTATTGTTGATGTATGATGTCAACTGAGATTACTGAAAAACAATGCAATGGCATCATAGAATTATTAGCCAATTGTCAGGATCTGTTTTGTGCCAACTTGTTGCGCTAAGTTTTGCGGCATCAACATGTTGTGTGAAAGCCATTATATGGGGTATGGATTAAATCCATATTGTAATAATAGGAAAGAAAGTTATTACCTACTCCCTCCGTTTCACAATGTAAGTCATTCTAGCATTTCCCACATTCATATTGACGTTAATGAATATAGACATATATATCTATTTAGATTCATTAACACCAATATGAATATGGGAAATACTAGAATGACTTACATTGTGAAACGGAGGGAAGTATTTGATAGCGTACTCATCACACAATCTAAGACAAAATGGTTATGGGCTTATGGCTTAGAGTCTGAAACGACAGCTTTATATAGTTATTTAAATATTTAAGAAGGAATGATACAATTTGTTTGTACAGGATTATGCCATCAAAATGATAATGTTTGAGGAGTTATTATCATAATAATTAAATAAACATGGCACTATTTGTTGAGGGAGCATGGACAGCAGAGTACAAATACTAGAAAACTAGTCTCAGAATATACTTTCAGAATATAAGTCATGCATCCATGTTCTCATCAAAATTATACTTTTACAGCAATTTTACTTTTCCTAGTGGTATTATCTACTAAGTGGAAAGAAGTGCTTATTGAGCTGGATAGGTAATTCAGACTATCAATGTAATTACGGCGCTGTGTGCAGGGGAAAAAGTCACCTTCTAGTTGTAAATTCTGTTCCATATTAGCCAGTATTTCAGCTATCTCCATCTCGATTCCTTCCACATCCATTGGTGTATCAACCTTGGCCCCAGAACTGCCATTTTCAACACAAACCTCACTGCACACATAGTAAAAGATTAAAAATTGTGAGGGGTCATCTTTACAGTTGAAAAATAAAAGGTGTTCAAGTCATCAAATTACTTGCATTTCCTAGAGTCTATATCAAATAAAAATTCTAATAACTACACACCTAATCTCAAAGCTACTATTTTAAAATTCTAGTTACTTACACTTACCATTTTTCCCCTCATTCATCTATTGTTATTTTTTTGCAGACAAATAGAAATTGCTTTTAATTCATTATATTTTTTGAACTCCACATTGTCACACATTATCAAAGATGAGAAGTACTGAATACAGTGCTGTTCTGTGTAAACATTGCCATAAATTTTAAAAAATGGAATACTTTGTTTTCTACACTATTAATTCCATATATTTCCCAATGAGAAAAATAACCAGTCATTCCATATAGTACCAGGTTATTTCACATACAAATGGAAGTATTTTGTCAAAGCATCATTAATGAAACACATGGAAACAAACAGTACGTTAAATATGATTCACGAAAAAAAAGTAGAGTGCAAATATAACCTTATAAAAATATTTCAGACAATGATAAGAGTACCACTGCATTTAATACCTTTCTTGGTGATCTTTGCCAGATTTAAGTGTCTCATTTGAGAATGAAGTCTGTTAAGCAATTTTAATGTGTTACTGTCAGCTTCAGATAGATAAATTAACAAAAAATATATGTTATTTCACTGAAATTTGACAGAAATGCTTGTAGCAAAAATAACCTTCAGATTCTGTTGGCTTGCTGTACCCATTTTGTTTGCATCGGAGGGATTGGAGTCATGTCCTACAGAAACATTCCTGCAACGGGCACTAGGAGCATCATCAAATATAGGATCAATTTTGGAAGCACTAATATGGCCAACAATATTTGGATCTCCAGCCATGCGTTTCTTTAATTTCCCCTGCAAAGATGGTTATCAGTGAGCAAACAATATGAACAAGCAGCTGAATAACAAAGACAAAAAAGGAGTTCCTGATGTAACACACCCATACGAACGATCTCACAAGTGGAAATATGACGCCACGATAATCCAAAACAGATACTTTGAGGAACTTAAGCCACATATTTTGTATTCCGACTCGAGCCTCGTCAAACTGAAATGCAAAGGCAAGTGAATTCTCAGTCCGGTAAACATAATTGTAAGCACAAAAATGCACACAAAGTACAAATGCTAAACTTAAAATCATGCCATATCATCATGTGACTGTAACTAGTAACAGACCTGAGAGCTAGATGTATCTGTAGGCAAAGTCCCCAACCTTTTCTTGATTCCCTCAAGGATCTCAGCCCCTTCTCTGCATTTCTCTGTACGCATTTCCACCAAATCTGGTTCTGTTCCACCAGCTGTCAGACGAATCAAGGAATCGAACATATCGTTTATCTTTATTAAACGGAAGATGTCATGCTTCTCTGAATCTTGACCAAAAGTTATCCATTCCAAGGAACAGTCCCCCACTGATGTATTTTCAGATAGTTTTGAACCCAAAACTGATTGGAGCTTTCTCCAGTGCCCCTCTGGGTGCTTGTTGCACAGGTGTCCCCAGAGTGAAGAAGTGTCCACAAACTTCCGGCCATCACAGCGACTCGACAGAGGGCAAATCAAGAAACTCCATGAATTGTTGCCCTTGAAAAAGCGCACTGCATCCGTTATGGTCTTTGCAGACGACATGTCAGTTCTATTGCATAGTTGAATCAATGGCTTGACCCTCACTGATATCAAGCTATCCTCATCCTCGCTTGTTAGAGTGCGCCAGTAAATTGCAGCCGAGAATATGATCTTCTTGATCAGTGTACGAAGCTGATTCCTGACAAAACACACTCTGGCATCATAATCTGCTCCACTGACAGATCCTGGAGGCAAGTCATCCACCACCGGGTCGAAAGGGCTCTCGATGGCAAGCGCCCTGTGGCACTCGCATTCGGCATCGTCGTACTGATCCAGGACGAACATGAGCTTGGCGCGGAACAGGGCGATCACGAGCGATCGCTGGAACTCATACGCGGTGTCCTGGACCATGTCGAGGGTGCGGCGCAGGAATCGCCTCTTGTCGATGGCCGGGTCCAAGCCACGGACGCGCTCCAGGTCGACGTGCGCGCGGAGGAGGTGGGCGCGCGGCGCGAACGGGTAGGTCGTGGCGAGATGCTTCGCTCGCGCGCGCGCTCTGGCGGCGGCGTCCCCGCCGAGCTTGATGCCGTCGAGCACTCGCAAGGACTCCGCCGGGATGAACCGTGCGCAGATCAGCTCGGCGAGGCGCTCTATGGCGCGGTGAGTCCTGACCTTGGCCTTCCCCAACCTCTCGGCGAGGGTCGTCTCGCCGTCGCACACGTCATACACGACGTCGTGCGCCGCGGGGTCGGCGGGGTCGGAGATCCCGAGGGCGCGGAGGAGCTCCACGTACGCCTCCTCGTACCTCTCGACCTCGGAGAGCATCTCGGCGTGCGAGACGGCGATGTCGACGCAGTTGGGGGCGAGCCACGCCGCGGCGGCGAAGGCGGAGAGCGCGGCGCGCTTGTGCTCCTCCTCGTCCTCGGCCGAGCCCTCCTTCCCGGACCAGGCGCCCCCGCCGCTGCAGCACGACATGACCCTGCAGGCGGTGTAGTTGACCTGGTGCAGGGTGCCGACGAGGTTGAGCACGAGCGCGGAGCCCCCGTGCTTCAGCCCGAGCTCCACCGCCCGCGCCATCGCCGCCGCGAAACCCCCCTCGTGGTGCAGCCTCAGGATCCCCGCCGCCTCCTCGCGCAATGCCGCGGAGTCCGCGGCGTCTCGTGTCGCCATCGCGCCGCGTTGGGGGGTGGAGCTTGACCGCACGCGCGCGCGCGGGTTAGGTGCTCGTCGAAATGCCGACCCCCGCCGAAGACGCTAGAAGAAGCGCCGCCTGAGTGGAGGAAGGCGAGGGGAGCGCGACGCGGGAGTAGAAGGCGGAGATCGCGGCGGCGGTGGTTTCGGTGGACGCGGCGGCGTGCGGCGGCGGCTGCGGCTGCGGCTGCGGCGGCGGCGAGGTTGTTGGGAATGCGGGGAGTTTGGGGAGGCGAGGAGGAGAAGAGGCGGCGGGGTATTTATATAGCGGGGCGGGGAAAGAGGAGACGCAAGGATTCAGATGTTGCGAAAATTTGTTTGAATGGATATAAGAGCAGGTAGCAGGCTATAAGCCAGCTGCAAATATATTTTAAAAAGATAAATGAGAAAAGAGAAGAACAGCGGACTACAGATTTATAGTCAGCTGCAGCACGGACTCCAAGACGCAGTGTGTGTATGACAGGTGGGACCAGGTATTAATAGTGTAGTATAAAACTATTGTATGAATGAGCTATTAGATTGGCTATAAATGAATTGAAGCTAGTAGTTGGCTCTAAAGGGCTTTAAGGATTCTCATGCTGCAAAATTTGTTTGAATGGATAAAGGGATTTTGTGCGTGATAAACGATGGTTTGATTTTCTAGTTGCATTTTGTTTGGATATGGATGGTGATACGCTACCGTCGTTTTGGATTTTAGGCGCTGCTTATATTGGGATCACTTGAACTTTGTCGTTTTGAATGAATAATTGCTAAAAAGATGTTAAGGGTTAGCTTAAAAGAAACTTGAAAGATAAATTATTATTATTATTAAAGCAATTTTTCTATAATTTTTTGTAAAAAAGGCATCATTTTAATGTTAAGGAAGCGTATGAAAAAAAAAAGTGGGAGTATAAGTTAGGAAATGAGAGAAGCGAACGTAGCCTTATACTCCATCTGTTTCATAAAAAATAATTTCTAGCTACGAATATGAAGTTGGATTGTTTTTATAAGATGGTGGGAGCGTTGTTTTTTAATCCTTCTGTCAGGATTATATTACTTGACATTAGACTACGTACTGTTCCCGCACTCCAATAAAACCAAATGCAAAATTATTTTTTTAAGGTCAATGCAAATTTATTTACACAAGGTGAGAGGGGTTTTGGTCTCTTGGATGCTGCTCGCATGGACGATCTTCAAGTACTGTACGTTAGAATGGACAATTCACAAATGTCCCTTCATGTTCACCGTCACCGGAGAACGTAAACTTTGGTTAGGTTGTCTAATCTGGATAGTTGACAATGCCGCGAGGTGATTCTTTATCTGCGAAAAGCTAATTAGCCTTGTATTTTTGCTGTTAATCATGCTTCCTAGTACTGCATGCATATGTAGAGGGAAGGAGATTTTCATTTTGCTACTGTATACTACCTCATTTTTAAAATATATGAAAATATATGGCGTGGTTGATTTTTTAAAACGTTTTCATCATATTCAAAAATTTAATATTAATATGTAAAAATATAAGTTAAGACTATTTTATTTGATGATAAATTAAGTATATGCTCATCCACGTATTGATTGTGTTCAGTAAAATGGGACATTGCCAAGGCCCTGCAAACTGCAGTTGTCTTTGGGATTGTGTTCTTTTTTTAGCTTTTGTATAGACGACTATAGCATTTACTACTTTTAGATAGTAACTAGCAAAATGCCAGTGCGTTGCACCGGATAATGATATGGTGACTGAACTTTTGATTTGAACTATTTATATGAAGAAAATGAATTGAAATATTTTTTGATTTGAACTATTTATTTGATTTGAAATTTTCTTGGAATTTACATAGCTTAATTGCTAATTTTGATAATACAAATATCATTTCAGCATTTATTTAAATAAAAATTATTTTTTCTCTATGAGCCTTTTTCAGCCCATTTTCTTCTTCAGCCCGCAAGCGACCGACGGCCCGCGTGCGGCCCAAGTGATGTAGCCCAAGTGGTGCGGCCCAAACTCTCGATCGATCTCAACCGTTCGTTTTCGTTTTGATGGACGGCTCAGATCAGTTTGAAATTGATAAGAACCCTAACCCTCCCCCTCCCTCCCAGCCGAGCCGAGCCGGCCGCCTCCTCCCCTCCCCATCTCCCCACCGGCACCGCTTCCCCTCCCCTCCCCTCCAGTGGCGCCGCTCCCTCTCCACCTCTCCCCCTCCCCCCAACCGACCGCCTCCCCCGCCACCAGCGTCGTCTCTCCCCCCACCGGCGCCGCTTCCCTTCTCTTCTCCCTCCCTTCTCACCGGCACGGCGCGGTGACGGCGGGGTGCGGCGGAGACGGCGCCCTCCCAACGGCGGTGTCGACGGCGTCCGCGCTCCCTCTCCCGCTCTCCTTCCTGTCTCGCTGGCACGGTGTAGCAATGACAGGTGCGGTGGATTTTTTTTGCAATTTTTTCCATGGCTATTGCTAACCAAATCGGATTGTGTACGGACGAAAATTAGATGTGACGAAAGAAAAAATACGAATATTTATATTAGTTATAGATATAGATAGCATCAGGCAAGCCTCCTATTTAGGTGGTATTATTCGTGCTACAGTGCTTATTTGCTACGGTATCACACAGAACTATGTTGTACTGGGCTACTGTTTCTCTGCTCCGTGGGCTGGCTACTGGGCTACGTTTGCTTTTTGTTGGGCCGGCCTGCTGCCGTCTTGGCTGGGCTGCTCGCTTGGTTTTTCTTTTTTTCGTTTCTCTTTTGTTTGCGGAGCGTCAGAGATCGATCGCCGTAATGCATCCGGATTCACGGATTAGCGGCGAAATAATCACGTGGGCCCACCCTTTAATGACGGACGAAAAAAATCAACCGGAAGCCTTACTTATTTTTTAATTAGGTATAGATGTGTTATAATATACTTCATCCATTTCACAATGTAAGACTTTTTAACATTGTCCATATATGATGCTAATGAATCTAGGCATATATATGTATCTAGATTCATTAGCATCTATATGAATATAGGTAATACTAGAAAGTATTACAATATAAAACGGAGGGAATAATACGATTAATGTTAGAATCCTCAAGTGTTATTTTTTTCTTTCTTTCCGTCCTTTGGATCGACTGACCTGTAAGAGCATCTGCATGGTTGGTTTTAGAGGGGTACTAGAGGAGAGAGAAGACCATGGTGCTAGCCTATGTATACATTGTGGCTGTTTTTTTAGGAGGCCTCATCCTAAGACCAAGTACTAGTACTAGTGGCTGGTTCCAATGGTGAGAGAGTATCTTTGGGCCCACATATTAAATACTACCTCCGTCCCAAAATAAGTGCAGCCATGGTTTTCAGCGCTCAACTTTGACCATTCGTCTTATTTGAAATTTTTTTGAAAAAAATTAAAGACATAAGTCACGAGTAAAGTACTATCCATGTTTTATCATCTTATAACAACAAAAATGCTAATTATAAAATTTTTTTAAATAAAATAAACGATCAAAATTGGGCGCGGAAATTTATGGCTACACTTATTTTGGGACGGAGGTAGTACATGGTCCCATAATGATTTTAAGGAGTGTTTTATAGTAGTACATTGCAACAATTTTCTCTAGTTACTATGATTGATGTGTGCCCCACCTCTAGTACCCTCACATGAACTACACATTATGGATGATGCTCTAAGACATGGCACATACTTATTTGATCTTGGGTAGGTTAACCTATTCAATAGTCTCACATTAATTAGTTATGGAAGGGCAAGTAAGAGCCTAGCTGATTCAACATATTTTGTTTGATGGATAAAGTGTGTGAAGACTTGATAGACCGTGGTGCCTACGGGGCCTGTATACTTGAGGGGCCGTCGGGGTGAAGGGAGAGATTGTTGAATAGTTCCACATTGCTTTTGGAAGGCCAAGAGACCTAATATATAAATGGGGAACCACTCACCTTATTAGCTAGCTTTTAGGATGGAAAATGCTCTTATGATCCTACCGAACCAGCATATGTACAAGTTTTTCAGTAGAGGACTTGGATGAATGTTTGCTTACTTTAGTTTTTTAAGCATATGTACAACTCTTCCTCCGCTTTGGTGCCATTGATTTTCTCGAACTAAAAAAAAAACTAGATTTGGGTTCAGGGCGGCGAGCGACGTAGATTCCTAGAGGAGTGAGTAGGAGGTGGGGATGGCGGTGGCGTTTCCGGGCGCCGGAGACTGGGAAGACCAGTGGGGAGCAGATTTGGGTTCAGGACGGCGAGTGGCGTGGGTTCCTAGAGGAGTGATTAGGAGGCAGGGATGGCGGTGGCGTTTCCGGTGAGTAATATTTATTTAATTGTTCCAACTGTTGGTAAATATAAGTACTTTCTATATAATATAAATATTTATGTTACAACAATTCTAAATACATAGGAAGCCAAGCATTTTGTACCGAAATCTAAGCATTTTTAGCCAATCGAATGCTTGTGGAGGATATAAATCGTTCACAGTTTTAAATTTGATTAGTGATGTGACTGGAAAGGGAATGTCTCCCTCTCAACCTTAATATTTCGGATGTCTCAAAAAAAAAACCTTAATATTTCGGAGGGATACGAATTTGTGATTTATATAAACTGGTCAATTAAATACGAAGACAATCATGGGCATTCTTTTTTTTCTTTATAGTAAAGGTTAAAATGAGGGGAATCAAGTGCATAAAGATTAGCACCTTCTTTGAGAGATTTTGTTTCTGTGATTAGAAATGAATAACTAGTGATGATGTAATCAAGCATTTATATGCTATAAAAAAGCGTCACACAAATATTAATTTGTTTTCACTGTTTACATTAGGTATATAAGATTTGATAAACTAAGACCTTGTACTGCATTTGTGTGTATGAATAATATCGAGGATAAAAATTTTAGGGCCTCATCTTTTCGCTTATACTTATGCTTATTAGCTAAAATTTGAATTTTCAACCTTAAATTTAAAGCTAATTCTAAGGTTTTTTCATCAAAGTTTATTTTTAGCCTTTGCTTTTAGATCACTAAGAACACATATATAAAAATTTTACTTACAAATCACTTTTTGTTTGCAAATATGCCGTTTCACCTATTTCGCGAATAAGCGAAACGACGACTCCTTTATGTACGTTATGAGTAGCCAAATTGGCGAGCACGAGTAATTTTAGAAGCAGTGATTGAATTGGTATATATCTGGTATAAACGTCACGAATCTGACACAACACATGCGCAACGTAATATATCCCTTATATATTTGAAGATATTCAGCTAAGTGCACATAAAAAAGATGGGGCCGCACAAATCATATCAAATTATGTTCCATCGTGAAAAAAAAAACCTTTTATAAAAGCTATAACCCATTTAGACAAATTTTAACCAAATAGAACTACATCTTACAGAAAACAAAATTGTACCATACCATGACATAGTGAACGAACCTGTGCTTACACCGACAAAATTAAGTGTGGCACGCGCCAAATCGATCGACGAGTCACTCGTCGCCTGCCTTTTAATTTCCAGGTGCTGTGTTGCAGCTTTGACGATTGATAACGATGATATAATAAGGAAAGAACTGCATGGTATAGTATGATGTTTTATTGGGCCGAAGGCGTACGTCCAAGGGCACAACAGGTGCGCGACCAGTTTAAATCAAGGCCGTTGGATGTTTGCCTGACGGGCGATCCGATCCACCCGTCCGTAGTATCTCCGAGCGCACTAGAATTTGGGCGCGCAGCGTGCTGGCTAAGTAATTTGCAGGGTTCAATCTTTCGTTTTCGGCGTTTGTATCAGAGGACGCTGATATACCCAAATTTCAGAATTTTCGATCCGAAATTTTGAACAAAATTTGATCAAATTTAAACAAAACATTACCAAATTCACAACAAAATTAAAAATTTCGGTTAGAATAATATCATATCAGGGAGGGGGGATTTTAATTTGTGCATATTGTTTGGCGTTATTTGAAAGGGACAATTGCTTATTTGACCCTATTCTAAAGCTTAACTATCAAACTACAAATCACACGTAACATCATTTGTGTTTATCAGCATCATCCATGATCCATCACCCATGTTACCCACACAAGATCACATGAGTATGTAAGCAGCAGAATTACAGAGCACATCAACTAAAATTGTCAACAACAGAATCTGTGAGAGAATAAACTTGCTAACGGAATGCAATCTATCTATAGCTACTTGATGACCTCGAAGATGATGACTTCAGGTATGAGCTCGCTATCTGTAAAACGCTGTACCAAACGCTCCCAGGAATCTTCTGCCTGCATATATATGTCAGGAACCCAGATCATACCTCCAGAAAATCAAGCAGATTACAATATAACATGTGGAGCAGTTGAGAATCAAGGATGCAGTGTTCAACAGTTTCGTTACCTCGATAGTCTTGGTGTCATATATGAGCCATTTGTTTTGGTCCCGAGAAATACAGACATACTGCCCGTCAGAACAGCAGATCTGGAGATTTTGATACATACATAAGTCGTACGTAAATTATATTTGCCAGACACGGTTATTACGGATAAACTTTAGATTCTGATTTAACTGAATACAGATATTTTAAGTCAGCATGCAGGTAAAATAAGAAGATATGCTTACACATGTTCTGTACCGAGAAAATAACAAAGGAAAGAAACCAAAAAGGTTGAGGAACAAAGGAGGTCCAACATGATTGAACCAAGTTACTCCCATTTCATTTCTAATTTAAACCTCTTTTACTCTTAAGTCCTTGCTCTCATTTCATTTTCTAATTTTAAACCTATTTTCCATCTGTAATGCAATAGACCAGAGGTCCTGCCCTTTTCTTTGAAAAGAAAAAAAAAGTTTGCAACACGGTATAAATATCTTTCATAACCTTGCTCCAATTCATTATCCAAAAATAAACAAACCTCCATAGCCTTCAGAACGACACCAACTTTACAAATATTAAATAATAATGTATTTTTTGTGACCTCTCAGATTAGAAGCATCATCCAATATGTATGCTGGGAGTCAATATACTTGTGCATTTTTCAAAATTAACGAGCAACGATACCAGAAAAGAAATAAATAACATCAAACTTGTAAACTGATGTAGATCTCTCGGGAAAATGCATATAAACCAATATTTTTTAAAAAAAAAACTCGTAATGCCCCCTCCCTCCTTCCCTTTCTGAATCCCTTAAACATCAGGATTGTAGGTTGTTTATCTAGTTTCATCAGAAAAGTCAAACCTGGAAAATAAAAAAGATTTGTGTGCATTTACCATTGAGGCCAGAGTATACTTAGTTGCGAGTGTAATATCAGGGGGAGATGTGCAGCCAACTAGAAGTTCAGACAGGCTGACATGGCTTTTGCTACTATCCGTGCATTTCAAAACTGCAAAAGGAGACAATAAAACAACCATTTCATTCAAACTAGTTCGACTTCGAACGGAGAAAAGGTTGAGTGTTGCAGCAAATTCTTGAGACAACACAAAGGGAACTTACTACTACTAGTTACTTTATGCATGGAAAGTCACACACAACTTCACAGTTCCTTTTCCTTTTGATGAATATATTTCTCTTTTATCCTTTTATGCATTTCAGTTATCAGTAAGGGTAGCGAGTCATATAAAACTAACTACTGTAGTTTTTCTTGCCTTCTTGGCTTGATTTGAACTAATTAGTCAATTTATGTGTACTGTTGTCAGGGTTTTTTGTCGTCTAGTAGAGGCAGGAAGATTACCACAAGAATTTTAAATAGCAATGTACTCCGTATTATTCTACGCGAACAAGCTTACCTACTGTAAAGAAGTGCGGTGTATTCAAAAGAAAGTGGCCAACACTCTTCAGATTTCCACAAGACTGGCATTCGTCCTGCAGGTACCAAAACCGTTCATCAATTGCAACTGGAAGATCTGCAAAGGACTTGATCTGCATAAAAAGGACAAAGAGAACTGCAACAGTTACTACTTGCGAGAATGTACACACGCTTACATACACCATGTTGGCTAGGAAGAGAATTTACAGTGTATGCACCTTTGGTGTTTGAGGTAAACCTGCATCAAGTTTATGGATAAGTGTACTGTATTTTCCTTCATCAAAACATGCTCCACACCTACAGCTCGTTCGCACCAGGAACCTCATCCCAAAAAGAACATGCGCTCGGCATATACAGCCTTCACAAGTGATTGGACTTACTACTTGTCCCTGAATCTTGTTGTTGAAATAGAAATGCAAAGGAGCTTCTGACACGTGCAGTTCGTCGAGAACTAAATCCAAAATCACAGAAGCAAAATATTTTCCAGCCCGCAGCTGAAAATGATTCACCAGGTTTACGATTGTAAACACACACAATTGAAAGCACAGGTTCACTCATTCATACATAATATAAAGGAACAAGTAACATCATATGATAAAAGGAAAGAAACAAAGAAAAGGGAAAGCCTGACAGCACTTATAAATGATGCATGATAACAGTATGCTAACTGTGCCCACAAGAAACAAGAAACAAAAGTTGATTCTGGTCTGAGACAAGAAAACTGAAGTCTTTCATGCAAGGTTTGAGGTGCTTTATACAATGAATGAATGTAATTGCCACATCCATATATTGTTTGGGAAGCTGTAAATCTTCATAATGATAAGAAAGTATGAGAAGCATACCTTTTCAAATATATTTCTAACATTTACAGTTTGGCACAAATTGTTCTTCAGAGAAGTCAGTGAATAGTATGTTTCGTGGTGATCATTTTTCTCCCAAGCAGAGAAGATGTCATAGAATATATCAGAAAAGCAGGAGCCATTATGTCTTAACTGGAAACTGGCAGGTGGCCTCTTTAAAAAATCATCCCTGAAAGGCCTCAAATTCCACATTGTCTGCACAAGATGCAAATTAAACGAAATTATTAGCTAGTGATGTCAAAAACGCATAACCACACTGCAACCGTCAAGTACCTGTATGATCAAATGCAAGAAAAATATGTCTTCACTGTTTTGGTTGAGAACATCAACACTCTTTTTGATAGATGGAAATTTGTGCTGATTCATCTGAAAATTGGCTAGAAGATCCTGCTTTATGAGATTTCCAAGTTAAAACAAATATTTTGCCGCGTTACTGAATAAGTGAATAGAGTTGCAAAAATTAGAGCAGCACAGAAGTTTCTGTTGTGTTTAGTACTGACCAATAGGTACATCATAATTCGCTATTACCTTTTGCACAGGAAGTGCCTGTAAGCAATGTGACTATTGTACCGTGCAAACAATTAATCACATACCGTTAATCATTAAAATGGATCTCTAGAAAAGGTATAGGTTAGATCATGAAAAATGTCGCACTGCAGGTGCAGTGAAGAGTTCAATCACCATCTGACAACTATACTTGGAAAATAACATGCATTAGAGCTCAAGTGGATGCATATTACATTTGGTCTGACAAGATTAAAATCCCTATTACAAGATCTGAATCCAATATAAAGTACACTATATTATGCACCAAGCGTAGATATAATGCATAACATCCTGTCAAGAGATCATATGGAACGATGGACAGACCCATACTTGAACTCCAAATTAAAGCACCACGTAGTTCCACAAGATTTTGTTTAACAGCCTCCTAGAGATGACTTTCTTCAGGTTGTTCCCAGGATCATTTAGCTTACATATAGTTTCGTGTTTATATAACACAAAAAACATATGCATGCTAGAGTCATTTTCACATGACAATATCAATGATTTTATCTGCAAAAGATAGGATATATGAACTAAATAGCATTACTACCAGTAATTAATGCAATCCAAGAAAGCAAGATCAATAAATGATCCATGCTTCTATTCTGATTAAATAAAAAAAGCAGTACCTAATATGTGGGGGGAACCATTTCCATTTGGTGTACTGGACTGAGGAATTGCACTTGATCGGACAGAATTTGGATCAATATCCAGTTTTTCCATCTGTTCATCTAGCTTATTTCCATTTCCTTCCATGTTGGTTGGCGGATCTTGTGGTTTCATGTCGACAATGGTCCCAGAACTTCTATTTTCAGCATGAAAGTCACTGCAGGAATAATGAAATTTGCAAGCTAAGAGTCCGAGGAAATAAATGATAATAGAGGAATAACGATGCAAAATTTCAGGGAATCATATATGTGCATTGTCTAGAATCTATAATAAAACTTTCAAAAGGAAACAACTTTGGTGACCACGGTTTGATGTTATTTCTCCTGATAATCAGTTTCACATGTATCTATATGCTTTTATTAGTAATAAGAAAGATATCACCAATGTGATGTCAGAATATAGTGATGTACTAGTATCAATATGCTTTTGTTAGTAATCAAGGCTTCATACAGAAGGGGGTCATCAGAATATAGTGATGCACTCATCTAATAGCTGTTTGTGCTTTAAATAGAGTGTGTGTCCTACTTCTGATAAAATCAGCACAATTTTTTAGATTGTTGAAAGGAAACACCATTTCATTTTAAATAATGCCTCTGTTTTGCCCTTTCAGAATGTCACTCTTGTTTGTTTGTCTTACCTACTCAAATAAAGAAGTATAAATCTTTTCTTTCCAGTTAATAGATTAGCCACATGGATCTTGACCATACTACAAATTTAAATCAGTATATAGAAGCTGAAATGAACTCATGCTTACATGGACACAAGAAGGGATTTATCATTTCATCTCAGTTTTACATATTAAGAAGTACTTTCTCCCTTTATCACACCAATGTTTCAGAAAGTCCAGTGCAACACTAAAAGGGCTTCATATTATTCGGTAGGCACCACAACCCAACACGTTTCATTATAGGATAAATGTGTAATGATGCCACCTCAGTATATAAGTCTTGAACAATATAATGTATGTTTATTCCATACAGCGTATACTCATGAATTGGCACATAATCAATGAACAAATAAAGTTTAAAAATACTGAAGTGCGGCATATATGAAAAAAAGAGAGAAAATTCTGTAGATACTGGACATGAACAAAATGAGAGCTAAATACATAATTCCTTAAAAAAGACAGGGTAGTCCTGTCAAGAAATAAATAATAATAGAAATACACTAATAATATTACCTTTCTTGATGATTCCCATTCATCTTTTGAGCTGCATCTGAGTGTGAAGACTGAAAGAATGTTTGTGTGTTAGTAATTTTATTTTCTGTTGAATCAACTAATAATACAATACTAAGACTGAAAAAGAATTTTGTCGCTCTAGTACTAATGTTAACTGGCAGATACTAATGAACCAATAATACAAATTAATTAGGAATTGTTCAGCAGAGAAATGCTACTATTTTTTAGAAGAATATCAAGATGAACAAAACAAACCATGTGAGCTTCTGTCTTGTCTTCAACAGCACTGCTACCAGAATTATAAGCAACAATAACAAACACTTCATCAATATCAGCAGCACTAATCCTCCTAGCACCTACTTCTGGGTCCTCAGACATGCATTTCTTTAATTTTCTCTGCAATGGTGATGGCAATATTCAGTGATCACATGCTATCAGAAAGTACCTGCATAACTGAACCTAAACAAGCAAATTCAGCATAAACAAACCCATAACAATGATCTTCCAATCGCCAAGATGAGTGCTCTATAATCCACAGCAGTTTCTTTAACAAATTTAATCCACGATTCCTGGATTCCTGGAAGAGCCTCGGCGAACTGCAATGCAAATAAACAAATTGATCTCATGTAAAATTAATACCAGCAAAAAAGGATCCATTTAGATATAAAAATGTCAAACCTCAGTACTAGATTTATCTGTAGCCAAAGTCTTCAACTTCTCCTTGATATTGTCAAGGAGCAAAGCTCCTGTCCTGCGTTTTGTTTCTATTAATTCAGTGAGCGCCAGTGTTCGTACTCCACTTGAGGGTTTATCAAACAGCCATTTGAACATCTGATCTCTCTCTTCGAAGCAGACAATGTTGCGCTGATCAGAATCTTGAGAGAAAATCACCTTGTTGAAAGAGTACTCATCATCTTCAAATGCACTGCGATCCAGCTCTTGATCTAGAACTGACCGCAGCCTCGGCAATACTGCCCTTTGGTGCTTGCTGCACATGTGTGACAACAGCGAGACGGTGTCTGTATGCTTCTTGCTACTGCTACCACTACCACACAAGGGACAAACCCAGAACCTGTAAGAATTGTGTTTCTCCCCAAATCTCAGCACATCCGACATGGTGAACGAAGATCGATCAACCTTGTTGTAGTCTTCTTGTAGTTCATCGAACCTCACGCTTAGGAACTCGCCCCTTTGCTCTTGTGTCATGGAATTCCAGTACAAATTGGCCGTCCTCACGATCTTGTTGATCAGCTCATGGAACTCGCTGACATGAGTAATCAGCCTGTCGCCCTTGTTCTCCCCGCCTATGGAACCAGGTGGGATGCAATCATCCGCTGGGTCATCGGGATTCTTCATGGTGTACCCTCGCCGGCAGTCGCGCTCCGCGGCGTCGTAGTCGCCCAGGATGTACAGGAGCTTGGCGCGGAAGGAGGCGATCACCAACGATTTGGGGAACCTCTCCGCGGCGCGGTCCAAGATGGCCAGGGTGCTCCGCCGCAGGGCGCTCCGCTTGTCGATGGCCTCGTCGAGGAGGTACACGAAATTGAGGTCCATGAGGCCGTGGAAGCACTGCGCGCGGGCCGAGTTCGGCATAGCGTCGACCATGCTCTTCGCCTTCTTGCGCGCCTCCACCATCGCGTCGCGCTGCGCCTTGAGGATCTCCTTCGCCGACGCGCGCGGGTTCTTCCGGAGGAGATCGCCGCGAAGGAATTGGAGCATCTCGGCCACCCACTCATCGACCACCTTCTTCTTGAAGCGGCCGTAGGCGAGGTTGGCCTTCTCCCTGGCATCCTTCACCCTCGCGTTCACGGTGGTGCGGTCCCGGCCGTGGAGGCAGTACGCCGCGTTGTGCAGCGCCGGGTCGACGGGGAGTGGGATGGCCAGCGCCGAGGTGTACGCTTGCTCCGCTTTTTCGGCCATGGAGGAGCCGACGAGCACGTCGCCGAGCGCGGTGGCGATGCCGACGCAGTCGGGGACGAGCCGCCTTGCCTCGGAGAGCGCGTCGCGTGCCGCCGCGAGGTGCGCGCTCGCGTCCCGCTCCGCGGCGCGGCCCAGACTCCCACCGATCTCGATCACCTTCCGCACCCTGATCGCCGCGGCGTGGTTGAGGTCCCCGACGAGCCGGAGCGCGATCGCCGACCCGGGGTGGTCGCGCGCGAGCTTCCCGGCGCGCTCCAGCGCCCCCCCGTGGTCCCCGTCGTAGTCCCGCATCAGCACCGCCCTAGCCACCTTCCTCACGTCCTTGCCGTCGTTGGCCATCGATCGATCGCGGGGGCTGCTTTTGCTAGCGCGCGTGGTGCTCGTCGAAATGCCGCGGCGAGGTCGAGGCGTGTGCGGAGAGCGGGAGGAAGGGATCGCAGCGCGGCCGAGGTGTGCGGCGCAGGAGGGGTCAAACCCGCTCGCCGGCGGCGAAGCGGTTGGAGCGAGGAGGCGAGGCGACGGCGGCGGCGAGCGGCGAGCGGCGAGCGGCGGCGATTGGGGGGAAGCGGTGGTGTGGGGGGATAGAAGAGGGTTTAATGACTAATGAGGCGTGGAATCGTGGATGTCTAGATGGCAAAGGTGACGTGTACTTATAGGGGGCAGCGGTAGGGGGAGGATGGACTTGGGCCTACGGGGCCCAAGGCTCGAACCGCAGAGAGATATTCCTGGCTTCCTGCACCAGATTTTGTTTTGGAGATAAGTAAAACTGATAGCTCCGTTGGCTGGAGTAATAGATAAAGCCAAAACTAAAATTTTAAATTTTAAATTTAGTTTTAAAGTTGATTTTACGATAATTTTAATAGCATTAGTTTTTAGGGAAAATTGAAACCATGCCATTATAATTTTGCAAAATTTGAGATATGCCATCCTAACCCACATGTCATTGACTCATGTAGATCTTGCATGTCATTGAGATACCGATGGCATATCTCAAACTTTGCAAAATTATAATGGCATGGTTCTAAATTACCCTAGTTTTTAAGTTGCTAAAACATGTATATAAAATTTTTACTTATAAATTATAAATTTTATTTCCTAATAAAAAGTTTTGGCTTATTAGGGAATAGGCAACCGATGAGGACCTGAACAAAATGCTCGGGACTAGAACCGTCAACACAATGGTAAACACGATGGTAGATTGAGTGCAACTGTGCAAATATCCAGGATGGTGGTAGATTGAGGTTCTATTTATGATAGTTTCTCGTAACTTGTAGATTTCCAGGTTGCTCTTCCAAATGGTTAAGATTCTCATCTAAATTTTGAGAATGTGTAACTATAGAATCTAGAAGCTAAAATCTAGATTCGCACCAGCGACTACTTAGCAATTGAATCTCAGCATCTAAATCCTGAAGGTCTGTTCATGCGTCTGCCTCCAGCTAGGGGTGAAAACGGGGCGGGTATTTCCCGTCCGCCGCCCGCCCGTATTAATCTGGGATAAATTTGGGTCAAAAATTCGGGTACCCGAGTACTTTCACGGATATCGGATTCAAATACGAATTTTTTCTAGCGGATACGAGATCGGGTTCGGGAGGATAGTATCTGACGGATACAGAGTATCCGGTAAATTATGCGGGTATTAGCCGGTTAACTACCCGTATATGACCCGAACTGCTACAACCACCAGGGAGACGAGCAGGCATCAGCCTGAGGGCGCCGCATGCCGCACGCGAGCAACCAACCACTGGCACTGAGGCACAGGCGCACAGCCGGCGCCGCCGCCGGCGTCGTGCATGCTAGCCGCTAGGCGCTGTGCTAGCTGCTAGTGGCTACGCTGCTGCGCGCCCGCGCCCGCTGGCCGCTGGCCGCTGTTGACCGCCGCCGACCACCGTCGCAAGGCCCCGCCTACCACCGCCGAGGCGCCGACCATCTCTTCCGGTAGTCACCTCTCAGCAGCTCATCCAGGTGAGCAAAAGTTCAGTGTTTTATTGCTTTATCAACATCACCTTACGACTTGAAGTTCAGTGTTTTATTTTACTTTTACTGTTTGGCTATAGGATTAGGATAGAATGGCTAGTGGTAATGCAAACACTAGTATCTGTGTCAAGGACAAAGTTACAAGTGTGGAGGAGCAACAACGTAAAGCAAAATGCTGAACCGTGAACTATGGTCTACACCATTGAGTATTTGAGTCTGTACGCCTACTTTGGTTCTGTTGTGCTGATAGGTATTACCATTCCCTAAGTCTCTAATATATATTCATATTATACGTATATGGAATGATTGAACGACTATTGCCTATGTGGTATATATGGTTATTGCTTTGATTTGATATCCGAATAAGGATTCGTAACCGATAGTGTTCGTATCCGACTTGGTACGTATTTGTTCCGTATTTAATCCCGACATTATCCGTGCTTGTATTCGTATCCGATAATATCCGTGCCCGACCCGATCCCTATTTTAAAATGTGGGTTAGGATACGGAAAGGATGAGATCCGACCGAACCCGACCCGTTTTCACCCCTACCTCCAGCCCGGGTGAACCAGCCGTTTCCCTCGCTCAATGCTCGTCGTGATCGAGTCCAGCAACCTTTCGGACATCAACGACGCAAATCATACTGTATATTTTGCAGTGCATTTTGTCATATCGTTCATTTCGCAGTGCATTTTGCTTTCAGATAATATATTGTTATAAACCCAAAAATCCCTGGTACGGCAATCACGGTAGTGGCAAAAATTGCAATTCTACAACGCAACCAGAAGAAGAAATAGACGACACACAAGTTGGTATATAGACTATATACTACATGATTGTGCCCCATAAAAGCACAGGAGAATAGGATATCTGGTCTCTACTCATTGTAAGCCCACAACATTCATTCTGGCAATCACGGTATTTGCAATTTTGCAGGAGCATGTAGCAACCAGAAAGAACAAACAAACGACAGGGATACCTTTCTTCTAGCCTAGATGATCAAGGTCAGCAAAAAAGTGTCGATCTCGCCAAGCAAATTATGTAAACTCCAGTATATACGACATGAACGTATGTGCCACGCCGGTGTGATGATCTCAAAGCACAATCAGCATCAGAACAAAGATTCAGCAACGGTTGCAATCCCTGGTGTGCTCCAGGGAGAGGATCAGAGGACTGCCTCATTCAATGGTAACCTACAATTCTATAGCCACATCAAACATTTTTTTTAAAAAAACTTTTCGCTGCAGGGAAGGATCAACTGATCAAGGACCAATTCTCAATCACAGCAACAGTCCCAAGGCCACACTCGTGCAAGAACTGGACTCAAGAAAAGCTGTTTCGAAGTAATTAAGATACCTGGTATATCATCCTAAAAGTAGTGCATAACTGGAATACTTACTACCCTGCGCTGCGTATGATATCTGGTAGTAGAACTGTAAAGCTAAGGACAAGGCATATAGAGACGAAAGCCATATCGACAGTACATGACAGAAAATTCAGCTTTGCGTCATCAAGCTATCTGTATTCTAACTAAAAAGGTGATTACTCAGCCATCAAAAATAGCCCCCTGATTCGGTTTCCAGGTAGAACTGTAAGCAGTTGTCTAGACTGTGACTTCTGTGCCCGCGGCCTCTGAAACTGGGTCGATACGCTCGAAGAAGATTATCTGTGGACAGAAACTGGAACGACTGTATTCTTCAAGCACTTTCTCCCATGAATCAAATTCCTGCATGGAGAAAGTCTCGTCATGAAAAGGGGTTATCTGGCAAAAGGCCAAAAGAAAATGCAGGATAAATGCGAGTCAAACTTGCCTTGACTTCCCTGAGTGAGTTATCATATACAAGCCACTTCTCCTCTTCTCGAGCAAGGCAGATATCTCGCCCCTCAGCACGAAATACCTGATAATGTTAGTAGATTGTATGTCAAGCATTGATCATTTGTGTAATAGTATATTTTAACTATGTACTTACAGAGGTGAAAAACATAACTATGACAAAAAGGTAATTGGTCAAGCTGGTGGTATACTGTTATGAAGAAATTATGAAAGAAAAGAAGTTTCAGGGTGATGAGACGAATAAAATGGACAAAATATCCTGAGGGAGAAATTTTAATTATATTACCTACAATGGCATTGACCCAAGGGAACCAACGGAACTATTCCAATCAAATATTCAGTTCACACAATATGTTGTGTATAACAAAAGAAACCGGAATGAAGAAATAATTGCATAATACCCATGTGACAGCGGAGCGGCAAATTTGCTCTTGACATTGTTTGCATGTCCCCTATGTTAAAATGTGCCCTCTTCTTCTTAGTTTCGATTGAGAATAAGCTCCACCTTTCATGTCCCAATACCCTGTACTAGTATTCCGTTCTACTGGATAAGGTGGCTAAGCTTGATTGCTTTCTAAATCAAATTCTGCGTTTCACCTTGATGCCAACAAAACAATGCAGCTAAATCCCTGTTTTTTCTAGTTTGAATTGCAATGTCATGGCTAAGTTCATAAGATCAATGGTTTATGACCAAAACTATAGGAAAATCACTTTTGGGACGGTTGCAAGAACATCAACAGCTGATAAGTACAAATGTAACAAATGCCATGCCATTTTACCCTCTCGCAAGAGTATACAGACACGTCCAATTTGCATACCCAAGACTATAACACTAGTGGAACTCAACAAAGCATCACTAAATGCAATCACACAAGCTCTCACCTGTTAGCAAACCTGATGATCAACCTCAATCAGGAAGAAAATTGAAACGGAAAACTCTTTGTAAACAGAAAAATTTCTAATATTTGACTTAAACCTGGAACAGGTCCTGGGGCCATTGCCATATAATATTGGACAAATTGATTTAAAAATATGAATCCGAGAATAAAAGTTTTGATCTGCACATACCGCAGAAACCATAGTATACTTGCATTCTGAGTGCAGGCCTTCATAAACAGGATTAATGTCCAAGGGGGCAGCTATGCTGACCAGTAATCCAGAGACAAGATGGCTATCATTCTCACTTGGATAGCCAAAAGCTGTGACAAAGCAATATACAAAGAGAACAAAATTAGTTTTAGTGTAAATTACCACAAAATGAACATAACATGAATTACATAATGATTTATTGTGTTTAGTCGGTCCAATAATATTTGTCAAAAATCTCTAGTTATTTATGTTGCATTGACTATACTGAAGGATGTCATTTGCAGACCAGTAAAGTTGGTTTGATTTGGTTAGTGCAAAAGACCAAAGCGGCCGCATTTAATTTCCACTGCCCATCAGTACGTTCTCAACTATATAGTGTAAATGTAGTCACATGATTATACTTCAGTCTTAATTGAAACAAGCAACATTACCAGTTGTGAAGTAACATGGCGGATGATTGTGAGCATTACTCTCAGTATTACAGTGAAACTTCTTGTCGACAGATTTTATGACATCGGCAAAAGTGTTCATCTAGAGAGGAAGCATAAGTCAATTTAATAAATGACAAAGTTTACAAACGCATTATCTACAACAAGCTAATCCAACAAGGAAACAAGAAAGCACTGAAGCACACCTCAATATTCCGCAGTTCACTTGCACCAACGTTGAGAAAATATGTGCTCTCTGTTGCATTCTTGTGCATCCCAAAAAGTTCATGCGAGAGGCATCTATGATCAGGACAACTGGAGAAGAGTGTTGTTTTGTACAGAATGTTTTTACTGTTGTTGCTGATACATTTAGCAGTTTCTGATGTATGCACCATGTTAAGCACTATTTCTATATATTTCACTGCCAAATTTGTTTCCTCCTGCAACCAGAATAAAATATTGTTAGTATTATGAAACATTGCACATTTATGCTAAGATCCTCATTCTAGAAGTAATTTAATTGCTCTTTCTGCAAGAGTTTATCCACTTAGGATGTAGCAAAGCAATTAGGTCAGGAACAAAAGTAGCGATGCTGTTTTGGACTTGAATTGAATTTATAGCAGGTAAGATCATTTAGGTAGAGGGGAAAAAGTTTAACATGAACCTTTGGTCTATAGAGCATTTTAATAGTTGATTTGTTTTTCCCTATTAAGTTGTACTAGTTCTGGAGAAAAATTGTTAACGCCATACAAGTTCTGGAAACCACAGTGACAAAAAAGAAGACTGCTAGAATGTGCTAGGTAGTTGGAATTTGGGATGTTTTCTTGCTATTTTTCTCTAACTACAGTAACAATAGCTGGGGAATAAGTAGTGCCTAAAACCAATCCAGTTCATGCTGGAATGAAGATTTTGCATCATGATAATTCCTACTGATTAGTGAAGCCAAATTTTCTGTGCTGACAATATGGAGGAATAGTTTATTTAAACAAATATAGTTTTTTTATAATTAAGTTTTTTCTTGATTATACTTTCTAGTGAGTTATAAGTGAAGAAAATAATATTTGAAAAGTTATTGATCTATTCTTTTTCAGGAGATAGCAAGAAAAAAAAAGGTCAGAAAAAAAGGCACAAGAGGCTGAAGGACAAACCTTCAACGAAACATTCGCCTCTTCTAAAATCTTGATAAAAGAAGGTCTCAAACAGCTCAGTCGATAAGTTGCTGTAGAGTCACTCTTATCACTAAAAGCATTGAAACTATGGAACAAGTAGCACAGCATACAATTCCGATCTTTTCCAGAAACTCCAAAATGAGGATAAAGCGGTGCTTTCTTCATGAACTTATCAGTGAAGGGCCTTAAGTGCCACAATGACTGCATGGGTGTTTGGAGGCTATGAGAAACATCATAAAATAATAGGTAAATAAGAGAATCTGGAGAGTCACAAAGGAGTTACCAGGAGAGCCGAAAACAAGGACTTTAGTTCATTTTCACTATTTGGATAGGCAGTTCCAGTTACTCCATTGCTCGAAATGTTTGCACTCCCTTCATTTGAGCCAGAGTAATCTGCTTACAAGATTTTCCCAGCCAGAACAAATGAGTGTTTTCACTGGTGACTGGTGAGAGAATGGCAGGAAGTTTCTTATGAATAGCGATGCATTAGATAGTGGTCGCTAGAATTTCATGACAGTCCATCAGGTAAAGCACATCATTTTATTTTGTATAGTCCACAGTGGATGTGAAATACTGAAATACAATGGGTACAAGCCTACAACCACATGTGGTTACCATGGTATTCTGGATGACATAAGATATAGAAAAAATATAATAAACATATACCAGATGGTGAGGAAGTCTTGTTTTCCTTTTCCATAGGAGTCTCTGAGCTTCCCAAGGTGCTGTGCCAAACATACATGCAGTTAGTAACATGTCCTGTGTTAATGAAGGACCAGGAATATGCAAACAGATGATAGGCGCTTCCCTCCTGTTTCACATTTAAAAAAAATAACACATGGCTCCCCATGCAGGTTCATGAATATGAAGAAATTAATCTAACAGTGTGGACATTTGGTGCACTAAATATTCCAGAGGGAGACAGGGAGGGCATTCAAATTTTCTCTAGTAAAATATTGTTGATGCCGAAAAGTTACACTCGGAATACCCTTCTGGATCATATTTTAATCCCTAGCACTTATTCAGGGGAATCTAAATTTACCTAAACCATCGGAATAAGATAACTAATGATGCAAATTTTACAAACACATTAAACAAACAACGATGCCACTTGCTCCTATATCATCCAACCAAACCATCAGAATGAAAAACCAGTAAGCAAAAACACCTGGATTCAAGCACAAATTACGGTTGCAATTGTAAAATTAGGTTACTCTCCACAAGTTTTGGCCAAGAACTTGTAAGTCTGTTTTGAAAAAACATTCAGAATCCAAGCAAATCCCTCTCAAATATAATTTTGAAATTTGGGCTGTAATCTGTCAAATACTACAAAGCATATGCTCCTACGCACCTAAGAGTACCTATTATATAGTATAGAAGTATTGAGCCCTTTTGAGTTGTACCATGCCTCTACTTGGGCGACCCAGACTCAAAGTAGGAAAACTGACTGAATTCATTATTTACTCAATGTAGCCCATCAATGTACTGTTTGGATGAACAGCCCCATTAATTATACGTATTCCAGTCGGATTCAATCATCAGCAAGTAATTGATATACAAATGACCAAGATAAATTTGCTAGGTGCAGCGATGCCCTTTCCATCGGACTCCTTCCCTTTAGGTATAACCAGATCCATGCAGGCAGCTGCACATGGTACATATGGGATTTACTCACGATTCTTGCTGTCTGGAAATCAAGATAGGTTCCCTATCTATGCTGGACTCCCCCACGTTCGAATCTTCTCCCGTGCAAAGGAGAGACTGCGCAGAAGAACTCCTGAAGGCCCTAAGTTTTTTGTATATAGCGATCCAAAAGATGCAAAGTTTGTCAAGCAGGACCTAGACTCGATATATATAGCAATACTGTCGAACAGATTGAGCCAGAGAACCTTCTTATCCGTTCCTTTTAATTAGGGTAGTTTGTAACAGCTGGTGTCAAACAGATTTGTGCCAGAGAACCTTCTCATCCGTTCCTTTTAATTAGGGTAGTTTGTTAACAGTTAGTATTAGTTGGTTTTCTTCTTTGCAAAACTTGTAAACTGAACTCTGTAGTCGTCCCTATCTTTCTCCCCCTTAATTGATAAGGCAGAACTACCGATTTTCTTTCAGAAAAAAATATTGAGATAACCCTTAGACATGGATATATACATCATTGGATATATATATCATGGTGATATGAGATATACTCACTGGGTCAAAAGCATAACAGAAAGCTCAATAAACTTTACAGAAAATACATTAAATAGGAAAATGGGAACATAATATAGTGGAACAAGTCCAGAAAGCTATAGTCTAAAACAAGAGCGAAATCCAGCAAATAACAATTTCAAGGAAGCAAGCTACACCCAACATAAGCATGCTTACCTTGTGTTAGCTCTTGGAGGCAACTCAAGCTTCTTGCCAGATTGCAGTACCTAAAATCAGAACATTTTTCTTTGTTCAGTACTGTAAAGCATGAAATGAAACTAAGCCAGTGCATGCAGTGAATGAGAAGCTAAAGCACGATGATACTGTTATTTTTTTAAGTAAGAAAATATTGAACCGTTAATTACTTTACTATCGCCTGGAAGCTCTTCGACACCATTACAGTCGGGCACAGTTGAATCTCCACCCTGTAGATTGTCCTCGGTAGCTTTTCCATCATCTTCTTGTAAGACTGATTCAGGACTGATGATATTGAGACCTGCCTGTTAAGCATACAATCATGCAAAGATGATTAAGTGAAACTAATCAAAGCTGATATATCTTCAGAGTAAAGAAAGAACATCATGTTCGTGTTACAACTTACATTAATATCTTCTTGAACTGGATCTCTGTTTTCAATACTTGCCTCAGAAACTTTATCACCCTCAGAACTTGAGACCCCTTTAGGTGGAACATTACACAGTTTAGCCTGCATGAGTGCAACCATGAAAACAATGATAAGCAAAGTAGTATTATTTATCAAAGTCAAATAACATACAAGAACTAGACTAACCCATAGGAAATCTTTCATAGCTGGTAAAATGATTTCACGATAATCATAAGTGCAGACTTCCAAGAGGTTTTTCTTCAAATTATCAACTTCGGCAACCAATTGCATGATCTCAATATCTATTTTAGCCTGCACATTTTACAGCCAAGCTTAAAAGATTGGTCAGGAAGGTCCAAACACTATCTGAAAGGATATTGAGCAAACAGAAATTCAGGATATAGTAAAAGGAACCTTTTCACCAAAATAAGCTTCATAAGTCTGCGTCGCTGTTAAGCCACGTTTCAGATTAACTTTCTCTATCAATGCAGCGGCCCTTCCATTCAACTTTCCAAGGGCATGAGTTCCCTTATCTAGACAGGCTTGCCTCATGTTGTCCCATGATGTAAATGGGTCTTGTCTTGAAGGTCTAGATAGCCAGCTAAACAGAGCATCTTGATTGCTAGAACCATCAGTAATTCTTAGCACATTCTCATCAGTACCTATAGATAGAACGCAAGCGTCTTGAACAACTCCCCCACCAAAATTATCACGGCTATCCTGCTCGGCATCACCAACCCTCAATCGAAGCAAATCCAGATAAGTCCCCAGCAACAGAAGCCCTCCAGGGTCCAGAGAAGTAATGCAGCTATAATTTTGGGTAACAGCTTCTTCAATCCGGTTTTTCGTGAATTTGATCAGGTTGTCAAAAAGATCAACAGATAGAGCCTTCTTATCCTTGAGGTACTGAAATGTACTCTTGATCTTGGTCAAGATCTTTTCTCCCTCAGCTTCTTCAGTAGGATTGACATCAGATGGCAGAGTCCAACACTTAATAAACTCTGTCTGTTCATCAGATATCCTCTCCGGCACAAACAACAGCGATTCTTTGAACTCCTGGGACCGGGAGAACTCATCATCCTCAACATGCAACTGGAAGGTCTTCGCAGTGAGGAAAGTCATTTCGCATTGAGGGCACAGCCAGCAGATCCATTCTCTATTGTCCTTCACAAAGTCCAGTGCACCAGTGAGAGCACTCATCTGACACTCGTCAGACGGCTTAGCACAGCAGTATGCTACCATCTCGTCAATACCCACTGTCAGGAAACTGCGGCGCGTCTCCTCGCTCATGCCGTTCCAACGATCTCGGGCCATCGGGATGGCGATCTTCGACAAGGCGGAGATAAGGAGTTGCTTGAGGCCATTCTTAGCAGTGGAGATCCGCGCCTCTTTGCTCGGCTCCAAGTGGCGGGACTCGAAGACGGCGTTTAGCTGCGGGTCGACGAGATCAGCGTCACCTCGGCCGAGCGCGCGTTGGCACGCTTCCACCGCCAGATCAAACTGCTCCCTAGCGGCGTACCTCTTGGCGAGGGTGAAGGCGATGCCGAGGTCGCTGGGGGCGAGATCCCTGGCGAGGCGAAGGGAATCGAGCGCCAACTCGTCCTCCCCGAGCGCGGCGCGCACGTATCCCACGACGTGGTACGCGAGCGCCGAGTGGAAGTCGACGGCGAGCTCCACCGCTTCATGGAGCCTCTCCTCCTTGACGTCAACCCCTTCCCGCTCGGCCGGGAGTGGCCCGGTGAGGTCCTTCACCCGCGCGCGGAAGCCGGGGGTGGCGCTGTCCCAGTCCATGTTGCTCCTGCTCCTGCTCGGGCTCGTCTTGTTCCCCCGCGTCCCACGGGGAGCTGCCGAGGCCGGTGGCGCGCGGAGGCCGGGAGGAGGAGGAGTGGGAGGCGGCGCGCGGCGAGGAGGTGGCGGCGAGGGAGGTGCACGCGAGGTGTTTGTTGAAATGCCAAGCCCGCGGAGGAGGGGAGCGTGGGGTGGGGTGGGTGGTAAGGATGGGTCGGTCGGTTGCGTGTGGGGGTGGGCGAGGCGAGAAATGCGGAGGCGCAGTGCACGCAGCGAGCGAAGGAGCGTGTACTTATATAAGTACCCTGATTCCAATATTGCCCCTAGCAAGTTGTCTAATTACGTAAATACCCTTCAAAATTGCAAATTCACTTGCTTTTTTGTTACTCTTAATCACGAGTATTTGACAACGTTTGCGGTAAGATTCGGCCAAATATTTTAAATTGGGACCATCAATGGTACATTTTCCAAACAAATTAATGTATATTATTTCTTTTGTTTTATAATTAGGTATTTGAAAATTTATTGATGGTTAAATTTTAAAAGTTTAATTGAATCTTTACCGTCAAATACTGAACGGATACTCCCTCCTAATAACTAGAATGTAGTATAAGTCTTTGTCCTGTTTTATATAGTTTCCAGTACATAAAATATATCATGGATTTTAATCATAATATACCATGAAAATAGTAAAAGGTATAACTAGTTGTACAAGACAAACTCAATTATATTGTTATTATTGGATGAGGATACATTAACACGGATATAAATATATACACACCTTTAAACCAATTAAATTATTAAATAGAGTGCCATCTAAGCGGAATTTTTTTTCTTCCAATCAGGATTGTTAGCACAAATTAAGAGCATCTCCAAGAGCCGTTGTTATTTGGCTCTCTATGCCGAAATTTAGCATGTATGGCGCAAAATATCTTTCCAAAACAATCTCCATCCTTGCCAAACCATTTGACCTGCCATATGCCTTTCCTCGCTGGCCAAACTTCGCAAGATATAATAGTTTCATGATTAAATAGTTGAGGAATGTAATTTGTCCGTTTTTATAGTTGAGAGGTAAATTTTTGTTGAGGGGGATAAATTGAACTTAGCCCTAGCAATAAAGAAACAAGCCACCTGATAGGATATATGGCTATAACTTGAAGGAGGGCTTCAACCTGTAAAAAAAATGCTTCCTAGTCTGTCTGGATTCTCCTTAAGAGAGACAACACGCAAACATGACCCAAGTATATAAATTTCTTATTGTGTAGATTTTGTTAGAATTCTAGGATTTCTAGGTGCGGATCTAGGGGTTGATCTCTAGCATATAGCAATAAATAGACATGACTTTTGTGAGTGAACGAGGAGAGAGAGAGACACATACCTTCGCCTTAAAAGGTTGAAGCGGCCATGACGACGGTGTGGCGGTGGCCTTGTGATGGGCTTGTGGACGATGGTGATGGTGTGGACGACGGCAGTGGCGACGGCCGGCGGCGGACTTCCCCTCACTTCAGCGCCTATCCCGGATCGGTGGGTTTGCTAGGGTTTTGTGTGGGAGCGTGTGTGCACGGCAAACGTTGGTTTGCGTGCCCGATGACTCCCCCCTTTTTGTATTGCGCTGCGTGAGAGGGGCCTACAGCCACGAACAGCTGGTGCCCCCAATCAGGGAGCGTAGGCAGAGTGGGGAGGATTAGTTTCTCGATCCCCTCAGAGATCGCAACTATAACATTCTATTAATTATCATTTACGTCTAAATAGATTGATGTATAGAGCACGCTTCATCATGACAGTCACCACTAAACCATCAGACGCAACGACTACAATGCACCTCCCCATCTAGAAATAAATACTAGGGCCTTTTGTAATCCAAGGATCATAGGTTTTCTTATAAACCCATGCTAGCTAAGTGTTCTCTGAACACACTGGGTGGTAAGCCTTTTGTAAGCGGATCCGCTAACATCTCCTTTATTCTTATATGCTCGAGACTAATTGTCTGATCTTGGATTTTCTCTTTCACAACATAAAACTTAATGTCAATGTGTTTGGCAGCACCACTTGACTTATTGTTGTGAGCATAAAACACTACTGGCTCATTGTCGCAGTACATCTTAAGTGTGGCCTTTGAGTACTGTCGACCACTTTCAACCTGGGTACAAACTTCTTTAACCATTTTGTCTGCCCTGTGGCCTCATAACTAGCTACAAACTCGGCATACATCGTCGATGATGCTATGACGGTTTGCTTGGAGCTTTTCCACGAAATAGGCTCTTTTGCGAGAGACCATTTCTACTTTTTTTCATATCATCTACTAGTAATATACCCGTGCTAACGCTACGATCCTTAATATTTTTCAAATAAATGACTAAAATTTTGTGTTAGAAAAAATAATCAGTTTAATGGGAGTTTTAATTCAAATTATGCCATATAATTAAGGCAAATTACAAGGTAGGTAATTCACTGCACCTATTTTCAGTAATTTTCAATTATACATATTCTGCCATATTGAACAATCAGACTACTACCATTCATGGTAACGTAGGTTGATCCTGCAATGGAAACAAATTATTCCACAACAGACATAACCTCTTGCTTTACTTTTGTGATTTGTACTAAACTTAATTACAAAATGGGTTCTGGAATAGTTTGATCCTAATCACTGGTCATCAACCATTGCTATAGACAAGAATTTTCTTCATCCTCACATATCATCAGATAAGAAAAGGACCAGCAGTGTTCTTAAAAACTCCAGCCAAGGATCGAGGCTTGTAAGTTTCATGGATTTTGCCAAAAGTACGGAATAACGGCAGCCAGCAAATACAAATAACAGTATAATAAGGTCATCTAGTCTTCCAGCAGAAAAAAAATACACAAGACACTTTGGACCAATGGCCTGCGTTGTTCATCCAGACTCCAGAGCATCAGTATCTCAGAAATAAAACTCCCGCTTGCAAGGAAATAGAAATATACCAATTTAACTAAGAATTGATACCTATGAGTATTCAAGTGTCAAGAACATTGGCTGATGGAATGATTGATATAGTCATTTGGTCACCATTATCAAACAGTAAACCAATGTAAGGGTGTAAGCAAAACTCACTGCACTAACTGAGGGCCTGTTTAGATCTCACATCGAAATTTTACACCCTATCACATCGAACGTTTCAACACATGCATAAAGTATTAAATATTCGCTAAAAAATAACTAATTTTTTAAGCCTAATTGCTACATGATTTGACAATGTGATGCTATAGTAAACATTTGCTAATGATAGATTAATTAGGCTTAATAAATTCATCTCACGGTTTACTTACGGATTCTGTAATTATTTTTTTATTAGTGTCCGAACATCCACATGCGATACCCTATATAATATCCGATGTGACACGGCAAAACTTTACACCCATGGATGTAAACACCCTTGAATTATATATCGGTGTTTCAAGGGGAAGAAAGAGATAGCATTCAGAGAGTTGTGGCTTGTCAGCAAATACCACAACACCATGATCAGATCATCTAAGGCTTCTAGCAAAGAAAAACACAAGACGCTATGGACCAATTGTTTGCCTTGGGTTTAAGGCAAAGTATGTGTTAAGTTTATTCAGAGCATCAGGGATCTCAGAAGTAAACTCCTGCCTACAGGGAAACCGAAATTTAACAATTTCAACTAAGAATTGCTACCCACTACATACTATTCAACAGCCAAGAACATCAACGAATGGATCACAGAATGGTATGGCCGCCAATATCATAAAGATACAGTAAACATGACCCATTGCATTACTGTGAGGTGTAAGCAAAACTCATTGCATTAACTGAAAACAGGAACAGCAATACATGGCTAACCTCGCATCCATGACATCGTGTATTGTGACCATGTTATCCTGCTCCCCGTGGATCCTTGATCGCACGCGGCGCAGTTCCTGCATATGCGCGTCGACGCCGAGCAACAGGCCAAGGTGGACACAGAGCGTCCTGACATACGTCCCGGCCTCGCAGGAGATCCAGAACACGGCAAGGTGTCGCTCGGCATCGTGCTCGAGCAGCTTGCTCTCATAGATAGTCCTCACCCTGAGCTGCCACTTCACGGCGGAGATGAGCGGGGGGCGCTGGAACACGGCGCCTGTGAGCGCCTCGAGCGCGCGTCGCGGGCGGTGTCGGGGACAGCGGCGTGGAAGCGCGCGACGCAGCCGTACTCCTTGCCGGCGCCCTGCTGCGACTTGACGAGGCGGGTGGCGAGGTCGACGCAGACGATGAGGTTGCCGGTGACCTTGGGATCGAGCGTGCCGCTGTGCCCAGTCTTGTTGACGCGGAGGAGGCGCTTGATCCACGCGACCACCGAGCGCCGATCTAGGCGAACTCGCGGCGGACGGGACGGGAGCGCGGCGATGAGCGGATGAAGGTTGCGGAGGGAGGCGTGCGACTGATTCGCTGGCGTGCGTGATTTTCGGCCAGTGACCCCGCGTGCGCCATCTCGGTGATCCCGCGTGCGTGCACTGTCGTCGGATCTCATGCGTTGGATGATTTTCGATCGTTGGATGTGTCACATGATGAATGAGTAAAACAACTTGTTAAATTATATGGTAGATTTTGCACATGTATTCCTGCGTAATTTTTATATTTTTTTCTATTCCTGTAATTCGAAAAACTTGTGAACCGAAGAAGCCCTTATAGAGTTAAGAGGAGAGATGAATAGAAAAAAAATGCCTTCGACTTTCCCATGGAAATCAAAACATAAGGTTAGAGCTCATATTAAAAATCCTTCAGCAAATCTCTTCTTTCTATAAAGCTAATACCCATAAAACACCTAAAACTCAACATGCAAGCAAAATATTTATTAGCACTCCTAAAAGCTACATGTAAGCATTCCACATCAACCTACTAAGTACACAAAACTCAACATGCAACCATATAGTAATTATATCTACAATTTATTTCATTCTAAAACTAAACATACACATGCTAAATCATAATTCTTAAATCATTTTTATAATATTTCAATCCAAATCATTTCATCATTTTTCCATCATCTAACACATATCCCGTAGCAAAGCGCAGGACAACATCTAGTAAAGGAAAGAAATGGTTCCACATAAAATTTGCCAGCCCAACTCTACAATCCATTGGACCATGTAGAAAATGTTGCTATCAAATTAAATCATTCAAAAATCCTACAGTACCAAATTCCCTCGGAACCTTGTTCCAAAGGAGCTCTCATCCTAAGTACTCCCTTTGTTTTATATTATAAGTCATTTTTTCTAGTTAAACAATTTTTAGTTTGACTAAGTTACAGAAAAAAATTTTTACGATACTAAATTAGCTTCATTAAATATAACATTGAATATATTTTAATACTTTGTTTTGTGTTGAAAATGTTACTGTATTTTTCTAAAAAATAATAAAAAAAAGTTAAAACGAGTTATAACATGAGATGGATATACCTGGCCAAATGGGCCGTGCCAAGCCGGGCCGGCCCGAGCACGGCAGTACTGTAGCCGGCCCAGGCCCGGCACGGCACGCCAGCCTGTGGGCCGTGCCAGCACGGCCCGTTATCCCGTGCCGTGTTTGGGCCGACGCCTCAGCCCGTGGGCCGGCACGGCACGGCACGTTTACTGTAGCGTGCCGGCACGGCACGGCCCAGGCATGGCATGGCCCACCGGCCCATTTATTTTTCCTACGATTTTCTAATTTTTCCCATATATTTCTCATATTTTTTATTTTTTTCCACATTTTATCCTATTTGTACCATATATTTTATGATATATTTCCTAAATTTTCCTCACATTTATCCTATATTTATAATGTTTTCCTTTATATTATATTTTTTCTGCCTTTTTTCTTTTTTTCCCCCTCAAATTTTAATTTTTATGGGCCACATGTACTAGTGGGCCGGCTACCAGCCCACGGTCCGCTACAGTAGCCGTGCCGGCCCGGCACGGCCCAGCACCTCCTTGGGCCGTGCTTGGGCCGAGGCCTTGGCACGTGAGCCGGCACGGCACGGCCCGCTACAGGAGCCGTGCCTAACGGGCCGTGCCCTAGTGGGCCGTGCCGTCAGTGTGCCGTGCCGTGCTGGGCCGGGCCGCCCGTTTGGCCTGCTATAGAGATGGATGGAGTACTCTGCAAAGAATTCCAGCTATGCCAGCGAAGTGAGCAAAATATTCAGTGGCATTAGAGAGCAGGAGTAAAGGGTTGGGGATATGAATTGAGATTGATCTATGGTTCATTTCAGAAAAAGGGAGTGACAGCTATAGCGCACAATGGCCCCATAGCCAAAGGGCATATTTATAAACGAAAAATAATTTTGGGGTATTTTGTGGAAATATCGTAAAAGTAGAGGCCGCGTCCAGTACTCCAGTGAGTTAGATGTTAGCCGTTGGATCGAGTTGTGCTGCGCTGCGCTGCGCCGTCCATTCATCCCCCACGCCCTCGACCAATCCGCCGCCGCCGCCGCCTCGCCGGCGCTTCCACCGTTAAGAGATGGCCGCCGCCGCGAAGACGAAACCCCTCTCCCTTCGTCTGCTACTCTGCTTCAAGTTGCCATGGCCTTGCGGCGACCTCGAGCTTCCCTGGCTCTTCAAGTCCATCAGCACATTGGCGCAGGGCCGCCTCGTCGCCGGGGACCTCCCCTCCCCCTCGTCGGACGGAGGAGGCGGCGGTGGGGGTGAGGAAGAGGAGCCCCGGATTGGCGGCGGAGGCGGAGCAGCGGGCGCCGGCGAGCGGGAGGGACGCGGCCGTGCTGGAGTTCTACTCCCCGCGGCTCCGCCTGTGCGCGTCGCTGCAGGGGCTCGTGCGCGAGCTCGAGGGCGGCGCCGGCGGGTGGACCGCTTCGCGATCGCCGACGCCGAGGACGACCGGTGGCTCTCCGAGGTGAGGCGCCTCGCCTTTTTTTTTTCTGTGCCAATGTAATTGCTCCGCATCTCATAGATTTTTGTGATGACTGATGAGGATTTGGGCGTTAGCTTAGAACTAGAAGGGTGCCCTCGCAATGACCGATTTAGTCAGCTTGGTTTCCTGATCCTAATTTTGAGCTTGAGATGATTACTAGCGTGCATTGCTTGGTGAGAAATGTCGTTTTTGTAGGTTCTATGGTGAAATTAGTGACGTTTGATGAGTGGATTGGATGTCGTGTTCCATATTTCTGCTTTAGAATGATCCTTCATAGCTTTGAATAATCAGTAGAGTTTGCTATCCGAGATTAACTCTATACTAATGTGGTTGCATTTAAGTTGTGTGAATTGGGATTGGAAATTGCTATGTTAGGCGCATCCCTTTTGTAGTAAACTAGCAATCATGATGTCTTCAGTGGTTAAGTAGTTTACCACCCTTAATTAATGTGCTGCGAGTAAATTGTCTAACGGTGAAGATCAGAGGAGCTCCTTGCTGTAGATATTGGCAATGTAACTCCTGCCCTACAACCAACAATCGGTTGTGTACTTTGGGATCATGGAAATTTGATGTTTATACTGATCTATGGACTAAAGCGTTGATCATCTTTGGACTTGGTTCCCTGTTATTTGTTGTCTTCAGTGGCGGAGCTAGGTTTGGAGGAGAGGGGGGGCTCAACCCTCTTCTTCCTCCTTCAGCCCCCTCTCTCCCCCCATTTTCTTCTTCCTCTCCCTCTTTTCCCCCCCTCTCCTCCCTCACATTTCCATGGAGTCCAGCGGGGTAGCGGGGTCTCGAGCCACCCCCCCCCCCTCCACGCTGGCTCCGCCGCTGGTTGTCTTGGTGAAGATTCCTAACTAGTGCTATGGGTTAAAATGGAGCTTTAGTTCCTCACAAAAGAAAAGGGAGCTCAGTTAAATCACTAGGTGTCAACTTTGGGTTTTGACAATAACAGTGAGTTTGTACTCTCTGTTGGAATTCTCTTGAAAATTGTCAAGTATGGATGATTTCAGCGTTTCATGTGGAGTAAATATTTGAAGTGTTACTAAACTTTAAGTCTGTCATGTTAGGTTGCTAGACTTTAGTTCTGTCATGTTAGGTTGATGAACCATAGTTTTCTGTATTTTTGGGTACTTTGGTTAAGAAGGTTCCATAGCCATAAGATATTATATTATTTACTGAACCGAGTTTCAGCATGTGACCTTGTTCTTCTTTTTGTATATGTGGATAGAACATCATAGCATACTCCATGAAAGGTATTATTCCCCATGTAAACTAGGGAATGTCTAGGAGAGACATAGCTATTGGTTCTTCTGAAAGTGTCGGGGCTTGTCATTTTTAGTTTTCTTTTAAGAACCTGAAAATTGAAGTATAAATTTTCCAAACACAGATGCAAAGAATATCTTAGGCTCAGATAATATAAATGTTCTTTTTGCACTGAAATTAATGTAAACAACGAAAGTATTGTGATATCAGATTTCCTCTGGACAACTAGAAATTATAAAAATTTGTAGTAACTATACACATAATCTGCTGTTTCATCTCCTTGCTACCCCTTTCTGCTTCTTGTCAACACTCAACACGATGATTGGGCACATGATGAACTACTTATCTATAGTTTTTGTAGTATACATTGTTCTGTTTGTACTTCATTTTTATACTTTGTAATCCCCCCCCTTTTTTTTTACTCTCCTAACCTTTTTTCTATTTTGCTTGACTACCCAACAATTAAAACTGTTCTTCTATGTTGTAGTGAAATCCTGATAGTTATCTTCTCAAATTCTTTCGGGATATTTTGCATTTCTGACTTGAGCCATGCTTACTGACTCATGCTTGGTTATGGTGTCATGTTGTACTTGGCCACTGTTACTAAACTATTGTAGCCAGTATCTAGTATCTACTAGCCTACTAGTGAATTACACTCCAGTTAGGATATTGTTTGACTATTGCTTGCTTCCATGCTTGTTATATCTTTATAAATGGTTCTAGTAAGGAAACCTCTTAAACTATAGCTAGCATCATGTCAACCATCGTGTGAGCAGTGCTGGGGAAGGGCTAGCAGCTTGTTGGATTAGTGCGGTAGGAAGTGTAGACTGTAGAGCCACCAGAGATGGGAGGACAAGGGCAGGGTGGGGGCGAGGCACAACAGAGATGCTCATTGGAGGGGAGAATGGGAGGATCAAGTGATCAAGTGGTCCTGCTCGTTATTATAACTCCGGTATGCATGCACATGTCCACTGCTTCGCTAGCTAAATGCTCGGTTGAAGCTGTCCTCCTGCACAAATCATTTCCTTTTGTCTGAAGAACTGGCCTCCCCATCGATCAAGGCATGCAGCTTGCTAAGTCGTGTACTCAGTTATATTAACTTCTGAACTATACTGGCTTCTCCATCAGAAAAAATGCACGGACAGAAACCACACGGACCAACCAAAAGCACGACAACATACGACTGAAAACAACTTCTCTTTTTCCTTGATCATGCATACTGCTAGCAGTGCAATCGGAAGGTGCAGACAGATTACAGATCATGCATACTTAATCTGCATAAAACTCTGCTTTCCCCATTTACCAAGTTCATCGTTGAGTTTCAGAATCCAGTCAAGCATGCTGCATAATATTTGCTTTTTCAGGAATAAGAAAACTGTATACTGTAACACACATTATATTAATTAGAAGTCAAATGTGTACACAAATATTATACTTATTATTACACCAAAATGTTTATGAATGCATATGGTGTTCGACAAATGAAAACCACAGAAATTCAAATCCGATCAGAGACATGACCATTTTAGCTCAATTAGAGGCACAAGGCACTTATGCATAGCAAGTAACCGGACACACTCAGTTGAAACACATGGAGTGTTAGAAACAAACCAAACAAACAAACTTGCTCTGAACTTGATGATGAAGAACTCGAACATGAAGAGATTTTTGGTGCTGTCAAGTGGCAGCATTTTCTGGATTATATTGTAACTTAAATAGACAAGACGCAAATGAAATTGTGGCCTTCAAGCCACTACGTACGCCATGCCCGTCCACTTCGTGCGCCATCCCGCACGTCGGGGCGTGCCGCACCAATGACACAACTAACTTGCTCGCTGAATCGTGTGCCATCCCACACGCCAGTGCATGTTGTGCCAACTAGCTAAGGACTTGCTCCGGCTTGAACAATCAAGACTCGAGCTTACACTGACTCGAACTAGGAAACAGAGCAAAACAGATTAAGGAAGAAAAAACAGGGTACAACAAGAATTATTACATCATGCAGAACATAAAGACACGCCCACGCACAGCAGAAAGAAATAAACAGACAAGCAGCAGATGGCAATCCACACTAGCACACACAAACCACACCATGGGATCAAAGGAAATATGCTCCTCTGGCGACAAACCTGTTTCTTCCAGCAGAATGAGGATGTTGCAGCATTGTCTTCATCCTCTTGATCATCTCCGTTTTACCTCATCTTGAGTTCATGGTTCATTACATTTAAGATTTATCCTTTTATTGTTTTCAATGGCTTCTTTCACCTCATTCGGGACAGGGCTGTTGTTCAACTCAAGCTCTTTGAATTTTGGAAGCCTATCAACTCCAGAGATAGACTCTATGCTGGTGGAAGATAAAACCATCTTCTCGAGCTCACAGGCTGATCTATTCTCAAAAGTGATATTAGTCAAGTTAAAGCCCTCAATAAGAAGGTACTTGAGACATTTGAAATCATCTTTCTTGAAGATGAGCATGCTCTCTGTGCATGAAATGTGTCGGAGCCTAACACACTGTAACTTGGGTAGCTTGGCGAGGACCTCCAGATCATCTTGGTTCAGTTGTGTGCTACTTAGAGTTACCTTGGCAAGCTTGTTATTATCACTTTTGATCAACAATGGAAAAAGATACCTGGCTCCACTGATGCTTAGACTCTCAAGTTTCTTGGGATGGGGAAGGTTAGAGTCAATATGATCTGGTAACTCTGGGTTTGAAGGAGTACCCTCGAGTGTGGTTGTGGGAATAGTGATTGTCAGAGAACGGATGCACTCATGTAGGTCGCTGATTGCTTTAAGCAACTTCTCGAGGTGACTTTTCTTAGCATTAATAACCACACCTAGCTTCCTCAGCTGCCATAGCTTTCCAATATCTTCCAAATCATCACTGCGCTGGGCCTTGACATTAGATAGTACCTCTATGTTTACCATCTTGTCTATCCTGTGAGGAATATGAACGCTAGTGCGAAAATTTCTTAGACTTGGGTCAATGTGACCAGCAAGTAGACGCTTCAGCTTCAAGAGCAGGACATTAACCGTTGCATTTGCTGGCACCATGGTTTCTCGGATATCCAATACCTCTAGCTCACGGAGGCAGTTGATTTCTCTGGGCAGTTGGGTAATATTTGTTCCCTTTAGGCTCAGATACTTGAGCAGTAACATCTTGTTGCAGATGTCCTTGAGGTACCTCTGATTCTTAACACCAAAGCACTGACAACCTTCTAGATCTAGAACCTTCAGTAGGGATACTCGAGATGATTGTGAGAGGCTTTGGAAGAACGTTTGAATTCTATCGGAACTGCGGAGTCGGAGATCATTGAAAATGGAGAAGTGGCGAGCCAAGTGATGTGATAGGCGTGTCTCCACAATGTGTTGTTTTCTAGCAATTGTGGTAATGAACCCATGAACTAGATCACCTACTTCACAGCTCTTGATCTTTCCTGTGGCACCAATATCAGCAGGATAAACAAGCCACCGACGGATGAGGGCATCAAAACATTGATTTGCCTGACGCACAGAACTGGGCCAATCTTCCTTGAATGTCAACCCTTCTGTAACCCACCGTCCAATCAAGGTTGACCGCCTGATCTTCTGTCCCTTGGGGAAGATAGCTAGGTACAACAAGCAGGATTTGTATTCTTTAGGCAGATCATTGTAAGAGTACATGAGCATATTCTTAGCTATTGCGTCAAATGATTTTTGTGAATCCTGCAGGGTGCTGTGCAGCTTGCTTAACTCTTCAGTGCTCTTCTTGGGGTTAGCATACACAGCATGGGTGAAGATCCTCATGCAGAATTCATGCCCCTCACACTCCTTCAAGATGTCAAGAAAAATCCGGGGGTCATAGTTGCTTTTATTCTTCTGCTTGCTAGTAAGTTCGAGCACTGTATGATGGTAGAGACCAACATGAGAACAGTGATCTATAGGTTCTCGCGGTGGATAGCAATATCCTTTAGCCTGTTCGGTGCTCTCTGTGGTGAAGATCAGTGCATCGGCACTGCATTCTAATAGGCTCAAAGCCCTTCTGAACTCCTCCCATCTGGATCCATCCATCATGTCATCAACTTTTAGGATAATGAGGGGGCACTCACCCTGTAAGTGATGTTTGATCTTGTCCACGATCCCTTTGATCTTCAGCTGCTCTTTAAGTTCCTGCTTGATTTCTTCGATCTTCAGCTCTAATTCTTCAAAACAAGCCTCTCCATTTTGGTCCGGAACACCTGCATGTTCACCTGTTGGTTGATTCTTATCAGGTGGAACATCAGGTTCTCCTGTTGCTTCATTCTTATCAGATTTGCCTCCCCGCAGCTCCCTTAAGATATCTCGTTTTGCGTCATTGATCATTTGTTTGATTCGTACCTCATCCAATGTAGTCGTTGCGGTGTTTGTAGCTTGCTTGGCCTCTGATTTGTCCTGCTGCTGGGCCTTGCTGCTGGTGATCTTTGGGAACACTTCTAGTAGAATTTGTACGTATTGAGCTTCATGAAGATGAATCGGGTCGTCATCTTCTTCCTCCTCCTCCTCCTCCTCATCGTAATTGTCGTCGATGACGCCATCATCATCACCGTCTTCTTTTTCTTCTTTTTTCTCCCCTCCTCCTACTTGTTTTTCTTCTGTCCCTTCCCTCTCCTCTTTCTCCTTGTTCTGCTCCTCCTTCCTCTCTTCTTCTTTCACTTCCTTTTCCTTCTTGTGCTCCTGCTTCTCGTGGTGCGGCTCCTCCTTCCTCTCTTCTCCTCCTTTTTCCTTGTCCTTCATCTCCTCCTCCTGCTCTCCTTCTCCGTCTGCTTCTCCTTTGTCTTTCTCGTTCTCCTCCTTCCCCTCTTCTCTGTCTCCATCTCCTTTGTCTTTCTCCTCCTTGTTCTCTCCTCCTCCTCCTTGCTTAGTTGTTCTCTTTTCTACACTAATTTGCTCATTAAGCTCCTCGTCTGCTTCCATATGCTTCTTAAGCTTCCTTGCTATTTTCATGATGTTATCGTAGTTCCACTCTGGTAATTTATACATGTCTACTGCTTTGTTGTTTGCTTGGTCTTGTTGAGACTGGAGCAGCAATAGCTGAACGAGTACATGTAGATCCACCTGATCCACACCCTTCTTTTGTAGTTGAAGCAGCAGCTGCTTGTCACTCTTATGTTGTCCATCTTTAATATCACTCTTGATCTTCTCAAGCTTCTTGTAAACATTCATCTTTTCTATATTCCTTTTGATTTTATGAAGCACCCTTTTTTTGCCACAGTAAATATTGTAGTAATCTTGCCAAGGGTCACCTTGATATGTGACGTGCTTCTGGGATCCGGGCTCGAGCTCCCGTAAGATGTAGTAGAGAATCTCCTTAGGTCGTAGCGGTAAAAAATCGGCGTGCACCGCCGGGACGTTGACCGTGATACTGCGATGGTAGTAGTTGCCTGGAACAACCAAAGTATCGCGTGCAAGATCAAGGACTTCCTTGTTATCTGTATCCGGTGCCACAATGGCGATGGACAACGTCTCAATGGCGTCTGGAGGAATTTCTTCTGCCCACTCCAATAGTTTTGCGTTCACGTAGTCTTCCAGAGCGGGGGGCTCATAGACGGCCCTTCGAGCAGAATGATCCTCATAGTCTTCATCATCTCCAGCAGCATAGCCACCTTCTGCGTCAGGTGCAGCAGCCTTTGTCGTGGCTGGAACCTCCACGCCGTACCTCATCCGTCGCTCGCCGACGTCCCGCGCCCGGTCCTTGAGCTGGCATAGCTGGATGGCCGCGCGGTGCTGCGCGACCATCTTGCGCAGGTACCAGTAAGCCCACCAGAGGTGTCGCCGGAGTCTGCCCTTGGCGCGGTGAATCTCTGGATTCCCAGAGTACAGGTAGAGGTCGATGCAATTGTTGCAGTCCTGGGCGAGCAGCCGCACCTGTTTCATCCATGTACACACCTGCTCATCGTGCTCGCCACCCTGTGGAGCGCTCCTGGCCAGGTGCCCCAGGAAGCTGTGCATGCTCTCCATCTCCTCCTTGATGAACTGCACGTCGTCCCGGACACCGCCGAGAAGAGCCGCCTCGTTGCGGATGACCACCAGCAGTGAGCTCACGGCGCCAGAAGCGAGCTCAGTCATGGTTTTTTTTTTTCGAACTAGGGCATGAAAGCCCAAGCTTTACAAGTATTGAAACTAAACAAAGGAAAAAAAAAAGGACCGAAACCGAAATTACGATCAATAGGACCTATGTCCAGAAGTGACCCTTCAGCAAAACTATCCTCAACACAAACGTGATCAAGCCAGCGGAAAGAAGTGACTTTAATACAGCAGAGAAGAGTGACTGCTGAAGCCCAAAACTCTCCAGATGACCAAGGTTTCCATCAAGCTTCAATTCTTCTGGTGCCAGTCCTCCATCCAAATCTTGAGCTTCTATTCTTCTGGTGCTAACCCTCCATCCAAATCTTGAGATGTATTTCACTTGCCACCTACCTTGTAAGTCTGCCCCCCAACTCTGCGCCCAACTGATGGCTCGGATAATGGTCTTGCTGCCTCGCGGGGGAAGGCTAGCTCGCTGGGGTGGTGCCGTGGTGGTGGGATGTGAATATATACTGCCAGCCTCCGTTTTCCGCCATTAATTTGCGACTTAAGACAATGGACTGAGTTATGGCAGTCAGGGCCCGTTCATACGGTGCGGTCGCTTTCTCAGGACAAGTTTTATAGTGGAGGTGATAGTCACCTTAATTTAGTCAACATCATCAACTCATTAATTAAGAGTCAATATATAGAACAAATCACCTCTAGCACACTTGCCCTAATACATCATATTAATTTTACTTTATTTGTTTCCTATCAATTTATGGGTCTCTTGTTCTTATCTCTCTTGGATTTATGTAGAGATTACCCCTTACATGAGAGGTGATTCTTTCTCTCTCCTTTTATATCTCTCATTCACCTTATCATGTAAGTTTATATGGCACCTACGGGAAAGTGTGTAGAGTCTCAATGCTTCCCTCTCCTATGTATATATAAAGCCATTTGTTAGTGTTGATTGACCTCTTACAAGTCCTACAAAATTCCTATAAAATGTGGTGGAAGTATATGATGAGAGGCTGAACCGTTGAAGTACTCAACATCATCATGAAAATTCCTATAAATTACAATAAAATTCCGGTAAACGAAAGTTGCCGCTCACTCATTTTTTTCATGTACTGCTTCAGTTTTTTACGCGTTCAGTAACTGCACACTTTAATACAAATTTTTCTCTAGAGATCCAACATATAAATCTCACAAAAAAAAAACAACATCCAAACATATATATCTCACAAATACAAACTTTTCTCTTTCACATCGACATCAATCCAATGATCAACCCAAAAAAATCAATTAAAGTCACATGGTCGGCGACACTCCTCCAAGACCTCCACGATGTCGGTACGACGACCTTGGTGGCACCAGATCCATCGGTGCCTGTCGTCGGATCTACCGGCCACCGCACATGTGTTACAGGAGCCACCGTCCTCGCCACGCCATTTGAGCCGCCGTCCTCACCGCATCATCCAATCTACTGTCGTCGCCGCACTGCCATGGGCTAGATCTAGCAATCCCTAGCTCGGGGCCAATTTGATCTAGCTCTTACCTTACTGTCCACCAGTCCCTCATCCTCGCCCACAACATCAGCCACTGCCCCTTGTCCTCCTCGCCCATCACCGCCGCCTCATGTCATCCTCCCCATCACACAACCGCCTACTCGATCAGGATCTTAGGAGAGAGACAGACAAATACACACAAAGAGAGAGGAGCTTGACCACCGCCTCGTCCCCACCACACGCACCACCGCCACCCCTTCATCCTCCTCCACACAACATTGGCCACCGCCACTTTGGCTCGTGGAAGGGGGAGAAGGAGGCGGTGGCGCCTGTATAGGGGAGAGGGGGGGGGGGTCAGTGACGACAGTGTGCAAGAGGGAAGGAGGCGATGATAGGAGAGGAGAGGTATGGCAGCGGCGACGTGGAGAGAAGAGGAGTGGTGGTAGCATTGGGACTAAGGTTTGGATGGGTTGGCTGGTATTAATTAAGTGTTATATTTATATAAACTAGCATGGTGGCCCGCGCAGATTACACGATTAGTATCGTTATATTTTTCTCATATAGTAATAGCTTAAATATTTTCATATTTTATTATTAAAATATATTAAAAATAGCAACACAATTTTGAATTTTGTATTGTATTGTTAGTTATTACTTATTTCCAAATTGTATTCCTATATGTACTCTAGACTCTTTTCCCAATCTTGCTTTTATTTTAAAATTCAAATTTTAGTTATTTATAAATTGTAATTATGTATGGGCATTAAATTCTACTTTTAATTTTTTAAAATATTTTAATTCTGACTTTCAGTTAGTTCTAAATTCCTATATGAACCCTATATTCTTCTTCCAATATTATTATTTTTAAATTCCAAATTTCCGTTATTATAAATTGTATTCCTATATGGAATATAAGTTTTCGTTAATGTTCCTTTTTTTAATTCCAAAATGAATTATATTCTTATATGGACATTGGGCTCTTTTCTCAATATTGCTTATTTTTTAATTTTGAATTTTAGTTATTTCTAAACTGTATTTCTATATGGACTCAAAACTCTATAATTTTGACTTTCAATTTGTTCTAAATTCCTATATGCACTCTGTCAGGGTTATGGATACCACATACCTAATAGTAGTTGACTAAATCTCGGCAGGACCCACCACATACCATTTTTTATACAGAAATAACCTTCGGATATAGGAGGAATTCCAGATAAGGAATGGCAAATAGAGTTCTACATGGAAACGACAAGGACTACTAGGATTGTATGCATATTGGTCTCCCTATTTCTACTTGGACAAGGGAACACCTATGGGTATAAATACAAGACCCCTAGGAGGAAGGGGGACACGGAGCAATAGATCAAGATACAACATACAAGCCAACATACGCCAAGACAAGCCGCCGGGTATCGACATCGGAGATAAGCCTAGTTAGTCCCTATACGGTACCTACGACTACCGTCAGGAGGGATCTAGCACTGTCTCTGATCTCGCTAGACACAGATTCGAGGAGGAAGACTACTCTATTGTCGACTACGGGATGGTTTTATGGCCACCAAGTCGACAATAGATAGATAGGCTACCCCAAATATTATACTGGTGTGATTATGATGAATAAGAGCAACGACCGGTTTCGGCCAACAGGAGTAGGGTTATTACCTGACAATTAAGGGGCCTGAACCTGTATAAAAATCCTCGTCTCCATCTTTTACCTCAGTCTCGCATATACCTTGGTGCCAACGATCCCCATACTATGCAAATACCGTAGTCGTGACATCAAACGTCGACAGTGGCACACCAGTTAGGAGGATTTTGGTGCTTCAGGGTTTTGACGAGATGGGTTCAAGAAGATGTATTGTTCAACAGCAAACTACTCAACGACTTCGTATATTGGGTGATATGACCCGAACAAAGTGCGTTCTCCGACGGATCGGGATCTTCGTCAAGCTTTGCCAAGTCATCGTCACTATGGATTTTTTGACAAGAGATATTTCAACTACTTTGGATCTGGGAAGTCTAACCCGACCAGAGTACGTGCCCCGACAAAATCGGAACCATCGTCATCAACAATTTGGTCTTTCGAGATCATCCAAGCCTCAAGTTTCGCGGTGTACCAAAAGATGTCAGGCCGTATGACGTCGAACGAGTACGCAGTAAGGTAATTGGTAGATTGGTTTTTTAAATTGATCTACTAATTTTGTAGATACATCCGGCATGTATCTACAAAGGTACGCAATATTTCATATGAAAATTATTGTACCTTTTTTCAAGATCATACAACATTGTCAGATCAATAATTTATTATGTTTACCTAGAGCATGTTTTTTATACAATATCTATTGTGCGAGTATTTCTGATGTTAAACTGACTACGGTTTAACGCTGGGGGCTCGCTCTATTTCCTTCCATATAGATCATGTTTGTTTACGGTTTACATAATGTCTTATATTTACATCTGCTCGTTATATCCTAATAATACTAGAAGATTCATGCAGTTTTCTGAGTATACACTCGATGTTATCTGCTATATGCCTAGCCCTCTAGAAAATATTTTTCAGGAATAATTGAGCACTCGAGTAGGTTGTGGTCAAGTACACCCTATTATCGAGAACGTTCTCGACAAATGCAGAGTCATCGCACCCAACCTACCAACGAAGACCGACGACCTATTTCATAGCACCAGCCATGGCTGGGCTATTCGAGAAAAGATTGTTAACGGATAATTCCTCGCGAACGTTGTCGGCTTGATCACCCGACATGATTGCGAGCAGACATTCTGATGTGCTATAAGTTGGGTATGTGAGTCATGCTGGCCACATGACAAACACATGTAATAAACCAACATTAGCGCCCTTATAGGTGAGATGTAGCGATCTCTCGCGCCTTAAACTCCAGATGGTCAAGGTACGACTACAGCAATAGGGTAGCGGTCCTCGCACCACGACTTTAGATGGCCGAGGTACGACTACGGCAATAGCGTAGCGGTCCTCGCACCACGACTCCAGATGGTTGAGGTACGACTACGACAATAGCGTAGCGGTCCTTGCACCACGACTTTAGATGGTCGAGGTATGACTATGGCTATAGCGTAGCGGACCTCGCACCACGACTTCTAGTGGTCTGAGTTACAGCTACACCTGGTCTTTGACCAGCGGTGTAGCGATTCTCCCACTACCTCCACTTCGAGTGATCGAGTTATGACTACCCCTGGTTTTCGACCAGTGGTGTAGCGATTCTCCCACTACCTCTACTTCAATAAAGTTGATATCAGGTACACAATATCGCCAAGTGTTTTGCTCAAAGATCCCTTACTACGAAGACACCTCGAGTTGAATCCAATCCTACTATCCCTTTACGCCGCCCTGACAAAGCCTCCGAGAAACCTAAGGGAATTTCAGCTGGGGATGTCTAGAGCGGATAAGGCTTTGTCAGGTAATGCAGAGCCGAACGATCATGTAAGACCTGATCATGTAAGAGTGCTCACCGTGCGTATTAACCAAGCCGTGTAATCGGAAATTGGGTTTTCCAACTTCACGGCTGCGGGCTAGGGTAAGCGCATTTTCAACCAAGGCAGGTCAAAGGTCTTAGAGCCTTCTCCTTCGAGAAAATATCTTCGATGACAAGGCTGGGGGCTAGGGAGAGTGTATAACTTGACAAACTGACTGATCGAAATCGGTAAAATAGAAGACGCTCGTACACAAAACATTGGTCTGTAAATTTAATTCATTTTCAATTTTCCATACATATTATAACATGTCACCCTTTGAGCGTTTGCTCGGGGGTTATTTCTATCTAATATTCTTTTATGAGTATTGATTTCAGGAAAGTTCCATTCATCATTGTCAAAGACTCCTGGTCTCTACGGTTAACTCCGAGATCGACTAAAGAGAGTACAACAAATGTTCTGAGTAATGATTTCAGGAAAATCAGATATCGGAACAGTCAAGTCAGACTTCAAGGCTTCGTTGCAGACTCAGCGCCTTCTCGATCACTTGAGAACGGTTGGTGGATCTCGACAAGGAATACGGAATGAAGAGATGGTGTACCCGCCGAGATAAAATTTCTTGATTTCAATCCAAATTCACGATTATGGCAAGACGGGAGACTTAGTCGCATGCTCTGTACTTTCTTGGTTGACGTCGGAGATTGACTCAGACAAACCCTATACGGTGCCCGCACGAGGCTGATAAGGGAAGTCTAACGTTATCTCTGAACTCACTGAGAACGGTCACGTGAGCTTGACAACAGTTATTCCGAGGTCTTCGGATTGGGAATATGAACTCGTTCATTTTCTTTGAAGTCGGGGGCTACTGTCAGAGTTATGGATACTACATACCCAATAGTAGTTGACTAAATCTCGGCTGGACCCACCACATACCATGTCTTATACGGAAATAACCTTCGGATATAGGAGGGATTCCAGATAAGGAATGATAAATAGAGTTCTACATGGAAACGACAAGGACTACTAGAATTGTATCCATATTGGTCTCCCTATTTCTACTTGGACAAGGGGACACCTATGGGTATAAATACAAGACCCTCTAGGAGGAGGGGGGACACGGAGCAATAGATCAAGATACAACATACAAGCCAACATACGCCAAGACAAGCCGCCGGGTATTGACATTGGAGATAAGCCTAGTTAGTCCCCATACGATACCTACGACTACCATCAGGAGGGATCTAGCGTTGTCTCTGATCTCGCCGGACATGGATTCGAGGAGGAAGACTACTCTGTTGGCGACTACGGGATGGTTTTATGGCCGCCAAGTCGACAATAGAAAGATAGGCTACCCCAAATATTATACTGGTATGATTATGATGAATAAGAGCAGCGTCCAGCTTCGGCCAACAGGAGTAGGGTTATTACCTGACAATTCAGGGGCCCGAACCTATATAAAAATCCTCGTCTCCATCTTTTACCTCAATCTCGCATATACCCTGGTGCCAACGATCCCCATACTATGCAAATACCGTAGTCGTGACATGAAACGTCGACAGACTCTAGACTCTTCTTTCAATATTCCTTTTTAATTCCAAAATTCCGTTGTTTCTAATTGTATTTCTATATGGACTCTAAACTCATATTTTTAGTATTATTTATTTTTAATTCCGAATTTCAGTTTTTCTAAATTATATTCTATATGGGCTATATAATCTTCTTCCAATATTTCTTATTTTTTAATTCTAATTTTAGTTATTTTTAATTTTTTTTCTATAGGGACTCTGAATTCTAGTTTTAGTTTTCTTTTTTTTAATTCCGAATTTAAATTAGTTCTAAATTGTATACTTGTGGACTCTAGTA